GTGTAGAGCGCTGGGTCAGGTTTGGTGGGGCGGCCAGCTTACTGGTGTGGCCAGCTTACTGGTGGAGTACGTTAGCCGTGGTCTGTCAGACTCGGGTAACCTGCCACCAAAGATGATTACAGTCCTTGCCACTCTGGCTGATGCATGCCACATAGCTGCGGGATAATGACTCCCGCGTGGCTGCTAGCAACACTGGTGCGAGATATACGAGAGTATCCTGCTGCTCGCTCGCAAGCAGAGCCCATGGTCCCTTAGTTCATCTTCTCCACCTGTGATCGGCTATACATAGTTCTACTGGTTCGCATTCCATGGCATCACCGGATTGGATTTAGGTCCAGTGGCAGTTGTTGTGACAGAAAACTTGGTTTCCTTGATAATGTTCTTCTGGCTATCTCCATCGCTGTTGTCACAATCGTCGTTGTCGCCAAGCGTCTGAAAATTATCCATGGGAATCCCGCGCGAACGTGATGGTGGTTGCAGATGGTGAGACCCTGAATTGTATGCCCTCCCTGATGTAGCACCGGGTGTGTTCGAGCCTACACTTACTCGGATGCGAAGGGAGAGGAGAGGGCGAAGCGCTGGGAGAGATCCGGCAATAAGGCCGATGCCTTCTTCTGTAAGAGACCAGAAGCCAATCTTTCCAGTACTGAACATGAATTCGCCGGGATCGCTATAGAGGGTGAGGTACTTGAGTCTGACAATTGTAGCTGTCGAGGCACTAAGCTCAGTTAGATAGGGCCATGTGACTGGACATTATGCAAGGGCCTTACAAAGAAGCAAGTGCGAGCATTACTGCAACCGAAGCCTTCACCCTGGTCTTCATCTGTACATTCCATAGTAGAATTGCTGGCAAGATTGAGAGACTGAAGTCTGCGGTAATCTCAATAGCCGAGTAGAACAAACTGACGTTCGTGTTGAGTTGGAGATTGCATACACCATTGGATTCTCCCCATAACGTGTTGATAGGATGGCCTGGTTGAATCAGTAAGACTTCTTCGTCGCCCCGAATCTCGCATTTACTCACAGATGTTTGCAATGCCGATACAGAACACAAGCGCAGCAACGATACAGGAGCCCATGAGAACCCATAGTCCCCATTTGAAGAAGTCTCGGGTGGCAGCAATACGTAGTAGCGCCACAGCAACACTGAGCTTGATGAACATGGCACTGACGCAATAGAAATACTCAGCAATGTAGAAGAGCTTTGTTTTAGTTAGTCACAAGACTGTCTTGTCGTCATTGGCGGATGCCTCGGATACTCACCTTTATTCCTATTGCCATGGTCGCGGGAGGCAGATCACGAGAGAATTGCCCAGACCCGTAAAAGCAACATACTATACAAAGGGCGGCAGTGACTGTGAAAAGAAGCTGAAATATCGGTGAGTAAGAGTTTGTACTGAAGGCTGGTTCTGTAGACTTACAATACCAAGCAACATCAAATAGTCGTCCATACCCCATGCTTTCCTCCATATCCTCACTCCAGCACGCAAGAAGAAAGTGACCCAGGTCAACGCCAACAATACAATAGCGCAATAGAGAAGTGCAACGCCATCACCGGCCACCGGAACGGTCGCCATGGCTGCAACTTGACGTAAATGAGCGTGAGAGAGACAGAAGACTGACAGAACCAAAGAAAAAGCGGATACAAAGGAGTATGGAGCAGCTCCCCAGAAAATGTATCAACAAAGACAAACGGTTTGGGTCCGCTAATATGGTACGTAAGAGCCGTTTTGATTCCATCCTGCCCCTGTCTCCACGCGAGAGCATTTGCCCAGACAAACATGCATTGCAAAGTCGCTTCCAGGCCTGAGACGTTACTATGCCAAGCTTCGAAAATCTTTCCTAAAGTGAACCTGACTACTCTCAATATGACACTCGACTCCGGCAACTACGGCAGGACCCAGAGGTGTCGGACCGGCTAGATGGTAGCACAACGGCGTGATCTCGACCACCGAGTCGCGTAAATTAAATGCCGTATGCAACAGCTCCTTTGAAGCCATCATGATTGGCTCTTTGTATATATTCGAGTCTTCCCCTGAAGAACTTTACCATGGCTTCTCGAATATATCTCGGATTTTTCAGGGTTTGCAATGCCGTTGTTTTGGGACATCAGCATGTAGATCTTATGCAATTCGCTCAATCGGGCCGTGGGCATTGACCTGCGCAGTTCCCAAGCGGGCTCGGCGGTTCTGGTGCCGGAAGGACAGTTCCACCCAAGTTGCGTTCACCACCACACCTAGGGTGCACCACGAGAGACCCCTCGTAGTAAGCCAGGATATGGCTTTGAGATATCAGGATAAGAGTGAACCGTGATTACAAACGGTGCGGGAGCAGGCAGGCGACACCATGACGATGTAAAAACTGTGAACCTAACGGGCTAGCCCAGGATTCCCAGCACATGGCAAGCGGGTCGCCTCCTGCTCTGCCGTGTTAAACTGGGTCTCCGACGGCGCCACCATCCCAATCTGGACCTCTTCCTTGAAATTCTCCTACTGGTCTCTCGACTATGTTTGAGAAAACGTTTCTGGCCTCGGGGCGGCAGCAGCTTTGCTTTGCCTGTGCTTGTGCTACCCAAATCAGTCTGCTCGTGCATACACGACATGGTCCGAGTTGGTTGCATATCTTTCCTTTGATCTCCCGTTGTCTATCCTCACATCCGCTCACCTGCATCAAACACAATTATCCACAATATGGCTTCCTTTGAAATCAATGACTCCGACCTTACCGGCTTTCAGGGCAAAGTCGCCATCATAACGGGTAACTAGCGCTCCACCGAATCATAGAGTTTGAAGCCAGACACAACTAACCTCTCTGCCAGGTGGGTCTTCTGGCATTGGTCTGGCAACAGTCGAGCTGCTGTTGTCTCTAGGCGCACTAGTTGTGAGCGGCGACATTCAGCCACCACCGGCGTCAAACGCCAACTGCCACTTTGTCCAAACCGACGTCAGAAACTGGGCAGACTTGACCAAGCTTTTCAAGACTGCCAAGGAGAAGCATGGCAAAATCGACTTTGTTTTTGCCAATGCCGGAATTGGCCCGCGCGCAAACTACCTGGCTCTCGAGGTCGACGAAAATGGCGACCCAATCGAGCCCAATCAAGACACAATAGACATCAACTTGGACAGTGTTGTCAAGACTGTCACGATTGCTGCTCACTACCTCAAGACTCAACCGGAAGGTGGATCCATTGTCATCATGGGGTCCAGCACGGGACTGCACCCCGTTCGCGCAGTCGACTATTGTAAGCCACACCCAACTCGCCGATCCTGTCCAGATCAACCTACTGACAGCGCCTCGCAGCTACGGCCAAAGCCGGTGTTCTAGGTTTCGGCAGGAGTTTTGCGCGCCTAGTCGAAGTAGCTGGACTACCTATTCGCGTTAACACTCTTGCCCCTTCATGGACGGCAACCCAAGTTTTGCCTGATTTGAAAAACCTACTCGCCGCCGTCTCCCATGACTGCCAGACACCTGACGTAGTAGCTCGCGCAGTTGCTTACTTGATGGTTGATAAGTCGAGGCACGGCGAGCTGATTTTTGCTAGCAACGGCAAGTACACTGAGATCCAGAACACTATTCTTGCCCCAGCGTATGAACAGATTAAGGGTGATGATCTTAGTGATGACGCTGTCTTGGCCAAGGTCATGGCTCTTGCTGGTTAGAAACGCATGTCATGTCCCTGTTTTCCGATTCGCTTAGTTTACTACTCTTGAAGATACCAAATTAAAAAAAATAACTTTGTTCAGCAAGCATGATTTAGTGCGACGCCCCGTTGCCGAAACTTAATCTCGTTGTTTAACACTAGCGCATGCATCTCACGTGCGGAGAAGAAAAAAGTAATAGTTGTACCCCACAGATAAATGAAGATACATAGTATGTAGCACCCCCTTGTATAAATATTACATTTCAATAGTACTAACAAGCGGACGGGTTAAATAACATCTTCCCTAGCTACACTAGGTACCTGCATATTCTGCAGATGCCAGTTCTCACCTGTATGTTGCAACTTTATACACGTGCCACGCGCCTCCGACTCTACTTCATCTAAGCTCTGCATACGATTCGACGGATCCATAGCCTCTATTAAAACGAGTGGCGAAGACTTCCACAGCGGTGTATCAGCTTTACTCGAAGTAACAATGGTGGAAAAGAGGAAAAGCGTTATGGTAAGGTATATCGCGAGTGGGAGAGCCATCCAGTAGAAAGTGACGTCGAAGAATTGTTCTTTGTTCCACTCTACTCCTTTGAGGGGTACTGCATTACTCCCGGTACGAAGGCTGGTCGGCATGTTAGTATGGAGTAGATGGGAAAGGGATTAGGCGTAGCTTACGCGTTGCTCATCGAGATGGCAATGTTGTTCATCCTTTTTTCGAAGCCTCCTTCAACCGATCCGTTGCAGTGCGCTGGACTGTCTCCAAGGACATCCGTGGCAATATTTGGGGCAAATTGACCGGTAAATCCATGTTCGGTCTCGTTAGGATATATAGCAGCTGCACCGGTAAGTGATTTTGCCATCAGAAATTCCCATTCCGTGATGTCTGCATCGCCCACGCAATATTCTTCGTTGTCCTTGCCCGTAACGCAGTACCGGTATTGACTACCGTTCGAAACTCCTGGCTTTATTTGCCAGTCTAGATCAATCTGCGTGTCGATGATCTCGGTCTGCATTGTCGAGTTATAGGTCGACTTCAGCGTTTGAAGACATAAAGTAAGGGTGCCTGAGAACCCTTGCCAGTTAGCTGCATCATTTCTCTGACCTGCCCAATCTGCTCTTGGTTTGCCGTTGTGATCGCAAGGAGGATAGTAGGCAACAAATGTGGATGAGATGTTCCGTAGGGGTTCGTGATTCGCTACACGGAAATCCGGGTCCTGCCAATCAACCTGTGTGTTCATCCAGAATGTTTCAGGTAGGTTAACGCCCGCTTGACTCCGGTCCCAGGACTCTGGACCGATAGAATACATTGGTGAATCGTCCATATCATCGAATACAGGATCTCTCATGACTCCGTCTGCTGAAAGGTCTTCAACGATAGAGCATACGGCAAGCGTTTGATACGGTGCCCAGGTGCAGGCTTCGGCTTGGCAGGATCCTATGACATCCGAAGGGCTTGAAACATCATCAAGTATACCCGCAAGTATGCCTTTAGACATGTGTGGATGATCTGACTACCATGAGCTTAACAACAGAAGTAAGTTACAGCACACTGACACATGATAGCAATTGTGGATTGGGATTCCATGTCGTATTCCGCAAAACTTGCATTGGTGGCGTCATTGACATATTGTACTGAGCGGCTTATGATAGGACCTGTAGAAGAGAAGGTACTGTTGGTACTCTTTACTTCAATTGTAACCGACTGTTGAGTAAACGGCGAAAAGCCAAGCAGTAAGATAGTCGCGATTGCTCCGACGGACACTAGATGTCTTACGTCATGAGCTTGTTAGCAATCCAGTTGCAGGCAGGCGGAGGAAGACTTACGGACGAGTGCTCAAAAGTAACATGAGACTTCCTCGGGGCCCGCGAGAAGCCTCTTCGAACCTACTGATATCGAGCGTTAAACGCTCATTACGCAGATACGACCATTTAAGTTGGCCGATGCAGGATGATACCGAAACAAGCAACGCGGACTGTGCGACCTGCGAAAGAGCGGCGATAGTGGTAGCCAAGCTGAAACCAGCGGTCCAATTCCTGAGCGGCTCATCTCTGTACACAATGAGTAGGGCGATGATTGCACCGAGCGCAGTCGTCCCTAGCAGCCATGTGGCAAGCTCCCACTTCCAGTGTCGTAATGAAGTGGATAATGGTCTTGATGGGTGATTCCGGTGCTTGTCATCTTCCGTAGGAGTGGAAATTCGTGGGATCGGCTCTTTATGGACTGGCGAATATTCCATGGCTCATTAGGTCGAAGATAGTTTGTCGCAAAAACTGATGATTATACGTGTAAGAAAAGCATAAGACAGGACGAAGCTGACAAATGGGCGAGGCTACCAAATATGTACTTAATTCGTTAACACAGCCTGTCAAAACTGGGGTGGCTGTGCAAGTCACCAAGGGTCCTCTGGGGCCTCATAATCTAACCTGGGGAATCGATCGATTATAAGTATTGCCTCCGCCTGCTTGCAGCAGTGGTTTCATCTAGCTGACAGCCTATTAAGCGAGACGCCTGGCTTGCTAGCGTATGGCAAACACGTCGCACGATAGAGCTGAATTCGTGGGGGCCAGAATGAACCAACAAGAGCGCATGGCCAGCAGATATCTTGGTAGGATGCTGTGCTTGATTGGTTGGTTTCGGCTCACCGCGTTTTCTGCCACATAGAGAAGGGCGTCCGTTAAAATAAGTACCTAGAAGCAGTCCACAGGCGCGGTCGTAAACTCTCTTAGCACACTATAGTCATGCATCACAGCTATTTCTCGCTTCCCCAATCAGTACAGCGTTAAATTTATTACAGTCAAAGATGCAGATACGTTTACTGATCCCCATTCTTCAATCCTCTTTCCAAACCCCACAGTATCCCTAGATCTAAAAGGTACGTCCTAATCAACTCTGCCAATCTAGTAACTATTCAAAACGCTCTACAGTCTGCTTCTTGGCCCTCTTCCCAACACTACCTCCTACATCTCCATCTCCACTCGCCCCCTCAATCCCCCTCTTCACCCCCCGCATAGCCGGTAAATTCTCCATATCAAAAAATTCATACCTTTCCTTCATCCTCCGCGCAACAATGCCCGGCAGCAAATTTCCACACCGATCCTCCCTAGTAAAAACTTCTGGATCGTGTATCCAGATCTGATTCAACCGCTCATCCGGCTCCTTTTCGAAATCTACGCCCGACAGCGTTTGTAGGATTGCACGCACGGAGATGCCGTCTTCGGCGGCTTTGCTACCGAGGTGACAGGCGTTGATGCGTTCGATGTTTGCGAGGCGCCAGAGAAGGAGAGTTTTCGAGGGGACTTCGGATGTGGAGGCGAAGTCGCGGGGGGCGGTGGTTACGCCCTCTGGGTATCGGAGTATGGAGATGCGGGCAGGGCTGGCAGGGGCAGGGAGTGGGATGGTTCTAGGAGAAGGTCTGCGAGCGCGTCTGCGGACGGGTTCGGGGGTGATACTGGGAGCGGGTCCAGTGAAGTTGCTGGATTCAATCGCTTTTGCGGCTTCATTTTGACTTTCGAGGGCGCGGAGGTAGGCGCCGTCTTTTGTGGGTATGCCGACGTAGTTCCAAATTTGAGAGCGGATTATGCTGCGGAGAACCTCTTTGGATGCTGGATTTGCGGGGTTCGCGGGGTTGGGGAAGTCGTTGTCGAGGATGTCTTCTTCGTCTGTTTCGATTAGACTGACGATGCGTGCTTCTTCCTCTGCTTCGTTGTCACCGATGCCTCGTCCCTCGTTCCTGTCTCCTCCACCGCTGTCATTGTCGTCATTACCCCCACTAGGACTCTTTCCTCTTCCTCCTCCTCCTCCTCCTCCTCCACTAGAGCCGCATCCACCGCTTCCACCATTACCACTACTACTACTACCCTCATTCCTTCGCCCCCGTCCCCTCCTCCTCTTCCCACCCCCAAACTTATAATCATCAAAATCCACCTTATCCCTCATCCCCTCCCACTCCCTCCACCTCGCCGCCACTAGCGTCCCAAGAACCTTGGGCTTCAAAATTCCATACACCTCCTTCGACATCTTCAACGGCGGCTCCTTCTCCCCGCTTAACTTCTCACTCTTCTTCTGAATAATCTCCTGCATATGCACTCTCGTTTTCAACGAATCAAACGCCATAACCTCACAATTCCTCTTCCAAGTCTCCACTTTGAAAACATTATCGACATTCGCAAGGCGCCCGTTCTTACTCAGTACGTACTCCAGAAACGCAATAAGATATGGTCCGCAACTCGCACCGCCATCGCTCTTGAAAGCATTATGCTCTGATTGATTAGGAACGTATTTGATAGTCTTGGTATGGAATGCTCCATGCTCGAGTCCCAGCACACGTTCGACACCGCGGACCATGGTTGCAGCCACGGCACCAGCTACAAACATATGGTTGATCTTCATTCTACCGGGCTTATTTTCGCTGGGTGTAAGAGTGAGGTTGCCATCTATCCAGCGCGCAGTCTTCTTGCGCTTGTCGATGATAAGGAGACCGCAGTGGCCACCACTTGCCATCATATCCTTGGATGCCGCATCATTGCCTCTGCTTCCGTTCTTGCCCTGCTCCTGGCCCATCGCTCTGGATAGCTCCATGAAATCTTCTTTCTGAAATTTCTGTTCGTTGACAGGTACAATGATCCACCTGTGCTTTCTATCCTGCACGGGTTTCAGTGCGTCGCCGTTGAAGCTCTCGTCGGGGTTCTCGTCAAACACGTACTCGGCGTCGTGACCGCCAATGTCGTACAATATACCGCCCTGATACATTGGTAAGATGTAGACATCGTTGCGGTGATACTTGAGGGTTAGCAAGGCGAGGACGGTGTCAATACTGTTGGATTCGAGCCAGTGTGCAGGATCATCGGGATTGGTGGTGGTGATGTTGAGGTACTCGCGGACTTGGATTTGGCGGTCGAAGTTATTGTAACTGAATTCGAGGAGGGGTTCTTTGAGCCAGGTGTGGATGTGGTCGGTGTCTATTTGGGTGGTGGGGGAGTCTTGAGTATTTTCTGCCATTTTTGCTGGATATTAGGAAGGAGGTTACTTCGAGTCAAATGGATCTTGGGGAGTGGCAGAGAAGTTGGGTAATCAGTATGGATTGGGACAAAGGTGATACTTTACTCGGGGACAATACACCAAAGAAACAGATAAAGGGGCTTTTGTTCCTTTGTTAAAGACCAAGATGCACATCACGTTGGACTTGTTACGTTGAAATTCTTTTTCCAGGGACTCGACACTGTTATCTGGTTGGAAAAAGTAGAACAACTAAATTTGAGAATTGAGCGTCTTGATCAGTCCCGTTGATACCAGACTATGTGATGTGACAAGTGACGCTCTTAACCATGACCCAATATCAAAATCAAAATCAAAATGTAACCCCATCGTAACGCCTCAACCCATCATGGCCAGCTCTTCCCTCATTCAGACCACATCATGACCCCCTCCCCTCGTCTTACATTACCACATTCCGAGGATCAGTAAAAGGATTCGCACTCTCCTCTTTCCGCTCCGCCGCACTGTGTTGACGAGGAAGCCGGGAGCTAATCGAGAAAGCAGCAGGAAGCGGTGCACTAGGACCATTCGACACAGAATTGTGTCCATCAGCAGCATTTCCACTCGCAATAGGTCCCCTCGAAGGAGCAAGATTCTGCAGTCCAATCGGGCGCTCTCGATCAAATCGATTCATGCGCGCAGCAAAAAGCCCCATGAAAAAATACCCAATCATCCTGTGATACTGTCAGCCATTCTTTCTCCCTTCTTCCAACAATATATATCAAAATGTCCAGAAAAAAAGATTAAAACTTACGTGCAAGCCCCCATAACCCCAACAACCGCCCCACAAACCACAACACTCCTCGCCCACCACCCCCAATCCCCCAACGCACGCATCACCCCATCATCTTTCCAGCAAGTCTTATATTCCCGATTGACCTCAGCCCCAGGAAATACATCCAGCAAATACATGCCCACCACATTAACCATAAAATGCACACCCAGCAGCACCGAAAGCCCCATGGCACACCGATTCGTCACATGCGCACAGACAAGATGGAGGCGAAGATAACAAGCCAGAAGAACAGCCAGAAAGATGGGGTTAATGATGAGAGCCGCGACGATCGCACTGAAATTTCTCTCGTTAGCCTTGTACTCCCTTTCTCTTCCTAAACGCCACACCTCCAGTCGTATAAAACCGTAGTCCGTAAACCATAAACCCGTAAAGTTGCTCGGAATGTTAAGAAGGGGGAAAAAAAAGAGAAAGGAAAAAGTATGTGTGTGTGTGAGAAAGAGAGAGAGAGAGAAAGAGAGAAAAGAACTCACAATTTCCCCCCGCCTCCCCCCGGAACCCCCAAACTCAACCACATCCCCCCACTCACCCCCTCTTCCCTCCCCTCCAACCGATCCAAATTCACAAACGTAACCGGTAACCTCCTCGTTCGCACCACCAACGCATCCACACTACTCCCTCCACCACCAATACCACCACCAATACCACCTCGTTGAACCCCACCCCCAGCAACAACATCATCATCAACGTCCCAACACTCAACCTCCAATCGCATACTCAACAACTTATGAGCAAAAGCAGCGCAGAGACCAAGTTGAGTGGCTGCGAGCAGGACGGCGAGGGAGAGCAGTTTGATTGTTGTGCGGTGGGTGGGGCCGGGCCAGGACGGCGAGGTGGCGGTGGTGAGGAAGGAGGTGCAGGTGCGGAGGGTGTGGGTGGGGGATCTGTGGGCCATTTCGTTTTTATTTTCGAAGAAGAGAGATCTTGATGAGAAGTGGGAGGGGTTTTTTTGAAGAAGAAGAAGAAGAGGAAAAGTTGATCAAGTCCCGGAATGGCTTTTGGAGGGGGGGATTTAAGCTGGGGGAATATGTATTTGAAGTGAGGATGGGGGAAAGACAGGTTACGTTTTACGTCTCTTTTGCCCTTTGCATATGGTGGTAAGTGGGTGTGGTGGGTACCATGGGTGTTGTGTTGTCGATATGGTGGATGTTGGGGTAAAAGGGTCTATAGGGATAAGCATCTGATTCGACTATCATCTATGTTGGTTGACATAACCAGCGGGAAAAAAAGGCCAACAGGGTTGAATGACAACAACAACATGACACATGATTGAATTAGCAAAGAGGAACGTATAATTAAGGGGGGGGGGGAGGTATCAACTTGAATTTCAACTACATAAAAACATTGGGCTCGGGTGTGTGGTGTGTGGGGGGTTGCATGTTTAGACACTAAGGAGGGGAACAAAAGAGGCTCATAACATTGAAAACGAGATTTGATCGTAACCAAGAAGGCATGCCATTTTCACATGCGGCTGCGATAGGGTCGAGGAACAGGTGGCTGGAACAGCCTATCCGGCAAGCGGTTCCCATACTGATCGAAGCGGTAGTCCTCCTTTTGTTCAATCCACATCTGCCGCGTGTCAGCCTCGAGCTGACATCTAGAGCTTGCTACCGTAGCGGGGAGGGTAGCTAGCCTTGTAACCACTCACCTCGCGTTCGGCGTACTTCCTGTCCAACGGCACTGGTTGCGGATTTAGTATTTCTTCGTCGCCAAAGCCTGGATCTCCTTTGAACCTACGGGCGTAGTGGGCTGCGCCAATAGGCTGAGGGGCACCGTATTCGGCATACTGTGCTCCGTAGGGGCCGTACTGACCTGGGCGTTGGTTGCGGGCGCTGCTTTGGTGCCAAGTGTCGCGCTCGGGAAGACGTTCCTCAAAGGCTTCGGCGGGACGGCCTAGGGGCTCCGGGTACAGGCGGTTCTGCTGGTACGTCTCGCGCGTCTCAATGGGATACTGGGAGCGGTAGTGGTCCTGCTGCTCGAAGCGCTCGTCGTAGTGGGACTCGTAGCGGGGCTCACGGCCGTGGTGTTCCCAGTGGGCATCGTGGTGGTGAGGAGGAGGGGGAGGACCACGGCCGCGGTCATCGTAGTGCTGGGGGCCACGCTCGCGTTCATCGACATAGACCTCACGGTGTTCCTGGTAGTGGGCAGGCGGCTGGTGGTCGCGCTCAACCCAGACATCACGGTGTTCCTCAACGCGCCTGGGAGCACCAGCATTCTGCTCAATGTAGATGTCCCGGTCAATGTGCGTCGTGTGGGTAGTGTGGTGGGCATGAGCGGGAGCAGGAGCAGGAGCATGGGCGGGAGCAGGAGGTGGAGGAGGAGGAGCCTCTTGATGAATTTCAATGTCGATGTGCGTCTCCTCCTTCTTCTCCTTGTCTTTCTTGGAATGCTTGGGCTTGTGGGGCTCTTCAATGGGCTCGAGAGTGGTCAAGTAGCCGAGGACCTCGCGAAGACTGTTGTGGGCAATTGCGAGTTCCTTTTCTCTGTTCTCGAGCTTTTCCTTCTCGCTGAGCAGCCAGTAAACACGGTGCCTCATGCCAACACGGCGGCCGTCCTCAATGTCGCCAGCGACGCGTTCAGTATGGGGCGCAATGTTCTCGAGGGCGCCGCGCACATCGCGCATGCAGCCGTAGACCCATTTGGACTTTTCGTGGTTGGCCTCGAGGATGTCGTGGATTTCGCGGACCGAGAGCAGACGGCGCACCTCCTCGAGATCAGAGCGGACGCGACCGATGATGCGCACGTAGACGGCGTTGGATGGACCGACATCACGAACCCGCTTGGCCTTTGTGAGGAATTCGGCGAGCTTGTAGGCGCCTCCGAGAGCGGTGGCAGCCGCGCCGAGGGTGACGAGCTCTCCTTTGACCATGGTGAACAGCAGGACAGGGCGAGGAAGCTACCGGGTTGGGGTGGTGAGAGATCAATGGAGTGAAGGAGTGCCTGCGTCTCTGCGGGTACCTAGCGCCAGCATGCCGCGCAGGTTCAACCGGCAGCAAGAAGTGGGGATGGGCGCTTTGGTGCGTGTGTGTGGTTGTGGTGGTGGAAAGTTGGGGGAGTGTCAGTTCAGCTCAGCTCAGGGCAGGGCAGGGCAGGGCAGGGCAGGACAGGCCAGCTCCGACAGGGGCCGCGCGCTGGAGCTTTGGGGGGCTGGGGTTCTAGTCTGTTTAGGGCCATAGCCGCCTGCACCTCATCACCCAGAGCGACCAGCCCGAGGTCTAACCACCAGCCTTGCAACTGCTGTCCAACCCCACCGAACCGCTCGCCCTCCATCTTCTGCCCCCAGCGGTGCCACTGCCATCCACTGCAGCCAGCACGCGCGCCGGGCTGCATGGGCTCGGTAATTGACGCGTGCAAGCCGGTGATTTGGTGTGGCTGTGGTGGTGGCAGTTGTTGTGGCCGTTGTTATACGAGCGCCTGTTGTTGTTGTTGTTGTTATTGTTGACGCATCCTCCACCTCCTCGTCCTGGCTGGCTGATACACACGCTTGGATCATCCCCGTTGCGCCTGTCCTGTCAGCTCCACCCTGTCAATGACAACACAACACTACCCAACGCCAAAACCTTGATTTCTGCTATCTGCCGTACTTTGCAACAAATGCCCGAACCTTGGCGTCGCTCAGGCTTAGCTCGTTGCCTTCTGCCTCTAGCAGCTCCCGGTCCTTGTCCTCGAGCTCCGCCTCCATCTTCTTCACCTGTGCATCTACTTTGCCATTAGTCAGCCTGATCGTCCCGAACGGTGCGTGCTTGTATAGAGCGGCCATGATGACATCCATGTCACTGTCCGCTTTGCTCGACTGCTCCGCCAGCTTCTCGTGCGTGCCCATTGCCGAAGATTCATAGTGCTCCTGCAGCTTCTTGCCGCGTTCCATCTGAGCCTGCATCAGCGAGTCCTGCAGGCTCTCAATCTTGTCGTGGTTGAACGAGATGCCGGCGTGTCGAAGCGCATCTTGCAGCGCTACCGGCAGATCGAGTGCATTGTTGGGCCTGAGCTTGACCATGGGCGTGAAGGCTGCCACGGACGATTTCGCTCGTTTGTGTGCAGGTGTCGGTGCAGGTGCCACATCCATGTCGGGCATGCGCTTTGCTGCTGCGGCTTGTACGTGTGCCAGTGCTTGTTGGAATTCGTCGTCTTGTTTTGTCTTTGCTGCAACGGTATCCAGCCGTCTGCCCATGTATTCAAGCGTGGACAAGACCTGGCAGCGTTAGTGACTCCCAGCCACAGCCCAAAATGGCACTTACGTAGTTGAGCCATGCAGTTCGCGCCTGCCTCATATTCCTGTCCTTGCGTTCCTTAACATCCGCCATTGGCTTGCGAATCTCGTGCTCAACAACCATGGTCGCGACAGAAGCAATTTCTGAATGCAATTCCTCCAGTTCGGCTTGCAACGCCGCTTTCCTTTCCTTGAACTCCGCCTCTGGTTCATCAGAAGTCCCGCTTTGCCCACCTCCACCGACGTGGGTCAGGTAGATGGTGTCTACGCGCGCCTTGATTTCAGCAGTGCGGAAGGAAATAATAGCCTTGCACCACTGCTCAATCGACCTTTCATCTTCGCTGACTTCTGGCTCCGTCATGATCTGGGATAATAGTCCAGGCAGCTTGCTCAGAATTTGGTCGTCGGATGCAAAGCGTTCCGACAGGTAGCTCTTTAGCGTAGACTTGTCGGCCTCGCTCTCTCGCTGTGCATCCGCCAACTGCTCAGTAATTGATGTAGCAACATCATCAACCTACATTGATCAGTACCGGGCTATTTCCTCTCAAGCGGCAGCTTACAGAAACATCCAACCTTGCCTTCTCTTGACCCTCTTTCCTCTTCCTCTCGTTTCGTGCATGTTCAACATCCAGGTTAGGCTTGTCAAGCGCCTTCAGCTTCATCAACGCATCCTTTTGCGCCTCGAGCACCTTGCACTGTGCCTCAATTGCACTAGTCGAGCTCTGCAGAGATTCAATAGCTGAGGCGATTTCGTGGTCCAGGATGGGTCTCGAGGGTCCACCCTCGCCCTCATACTGATGCAACAGCCCCTTTTTCTTCAGTGTCTGGTACCTAGACTTCAGATCAGTAAATACTGCGTAAACCCATTGTCACACCTACAGCTCCAACTCCTCCCTGGTCAGTAAAGTGTCTTGGTGTAGGTATTCCTCGATCCATGCCGCAGCTTTGTGATTTGTATCTGCATCTTCGAAGCTCAGGAGGATTTTGTCCAAATCAACTTTTAGACCTCTTTCCTCTACTACGTTCAGCAGGTGGTGAGCAGCTTGCTCCTCCATGGCTCTAGGTTGTGTAGTGCTGGTCGTTGTGTGACAAGGTGCGAAAGCAGTTAGGCCGGCTACGTTCGATACAGCCGGCGGAAGTGACCAATCGCGCAGTCGCGTTTTCGAGATTTCGACGCGCTCAATGACCGCATTCTAAATGTACAAAGAGACATTTTACAATCCCTCATACCAAACCCACCTATTCCACTTCTAGTCACAATGACTGCCACAGCGATTGACCCCGAAACAAGACCCCAAACCCAAAAAGACACCGAAACTCAAAACCCCCCTCCACCACCCAGCAACCCCGCGCACGAAGAGCACCAATACCTCTCCCTCATCCGCGACATTCTCCAAAATGGCGAGCACCGTCCCGACCGTACTGGCACCGGCACCTACGCCATCCCCTTCCCCGCCCAAATGAAATTCGCCCTCTCACGCCCCTCCGCCGACCCTACCCAACCACCCACCCTCGTCCTGCCCCTCCTCACCACCAAGCGCGTCTTCCTGCGTGCCGTCATCGGCGAACTCCTATGGTTCATAGCCGGCAGCACACACAGCAAGCCCTTATCAGACGCCGGCATCAAGATCTGGGACGGCAACGGCAGCCGCGCCTACCTCGACAGCGTCGGCCTCTCACACTACGAAGAAGGCGAACTCGGCCCTGTCTACGGCTTCCAATGGCGCCATTTCGGCGCAGAGTACAAAGGCCACGCACACGACTACACGGGTGAAGGCGTTGATCAACTTGCCGAGATTATCGATAAACTGAAGAATAAACCGTATGACAGAAGGATTATTCTGAGTGCCTGGAACCCCGCTGATATCAAGAAAATGGCCCTGCCGCCTTGCCACATGTTTGCTCAGTTCTACGTTAGTTTCCCTGGACACAAGCAGGGAGAGGAGCGGCCGAGGGGAGTATTGCATTCGCTGCTGTACCAGCGCTCTTGCGATATGGGACTCGGTGTCCCGTTTAATATCGCATCCTATGCGTTGCTAACGCATATGCTGGCGCATGTGTGCGATTTGACACCAGGAACTTTTACGCATACGATGGGGGATGCCCACGTGTATCTTGATCATGTGGATGCGCTCAAGGTGCAGGTTGAGCGGGAGCCAAGAGAGTTTCCCGAATTGAGGATTAAGAGGGATGTCGGCGGGAGTATAGATGGGTGGCTGGAAAGTGACTTTGAGATTGTGGGGTATAAACCGCATGCCAGTCTTGCTATGAAGATGAGTGTGTAGGTTTCGTTTTGGTCTGAATACTATGAAGAATGGTATGGAGTTATAGATGGGTATATAGATATGAGTTATGCAATTGACGTTATGTTAATTCTTCCTTTCTTTTCCTCCTCCTTCAAAAAGAAGTTCATCCACTTCAGTCTTACAAAAAAATGCCATACATACCACACGTACATATAAGAAAACCAGACGAACCAAACGCTTCACAAATGCCAGCAAAAAAAAATCATCAAGGTATCATATCTCCCCTTTTGCTCCCCTTCCCTTCTGCAAATAAAAAAAAACTTCTTCATAAAAACTATTACACGAATCATAAAAAAACCGACCCTCAGTCCCCAACTCGCACTACCTACGGCAACTCCTGCGCCTCACTCGCATTATGCGCATACTTGATACTCCCCGGCAACTCATTCGTCTGGCCAGGCGTATACATCTCAGCTCTGCCCCCCTGTGCTCCATCCTGACGATAATAGCTCTGCTCCGCATCATGCACAGGCACAGACCCATACGCCGCATTCTGAGCATCTTTCTCAACCGCACCTTCCTTGCTGGCTTTACGTTTGCGCCACCAAAAGACTGCGAAGATGAGGGCGGCGAGGACGGCGATGCCGCCAACGACGGGGCCGGCGATCCAGGCTTTGCTTCCTCCACTGCTGGAGGAGGAAGAGGAAGAAGAGGGGTTAGAGGAGGAAGAAGAAGAAGAAGGGGAAGAAGAGTTTGAAGGTGAAGAGGAAGGGACGTCGCTGTCTGCGAGAACGGCGTAGGTGGAGGTGGAGAGGTCGGAGATTATGCTTGACGTGTTTTGGAGGTAGCAGTTGTTGTAGCCGCTGTCGAGGGTCGAGGAGAATAAGACGGCTTTGCAGCCTTTGTCGCTTGCGGCGCAGGCATCGATGCAAGCAGTCATGTTGTGCGTGTGGAGGTTCGTGATGTTGCGTCCGGGATTCGTCTTGCCACAGTGAATGTCGAAACGCGGTTTGTCGCCGGCAGTGGCTTGATATGTATTTTGCTCTGGGCACTTTGTGTCTGGGATGTCGAATTCGACGATTTCGGCGGCGTGGATGACGCCTTGTTTTGCCGTGGGACTGATGAATTTGGGTGAGTTGCCGTATTTGGGCTTGCAGTTTGCGTAGCCCGCGGTGAGATCTGGGTTCCAGGATACGGCGCGGCAGAGGGGGTGTAGGCCGGTGCAGATTTTAAGGCATTCTTCGAGGGTTTCGGTGTGGTAAAAGGCGCGGTAGTCTGAGTCGAAGCAGTCGAATTCTTCGAAACAGCGTGGTGGCTCGTCAATTACTTTGCCGCAGTGTGTCGTATATGTTATGCCCTCGACGCCTGGAAGAGGCTTGTCCGACAAGTCTGCATTTGGGCACTTGGTGTCGTAACCTTTCATCTGGTTCCTGTCGATGAGAAGAGCGGTTATTGCTTCTGGTGCGGGTGTAAGGGCTTCGGTGGAAACATTGCTCGTTTTCAGCCAGCAGTGGTTGCCGGGTACAGTCCAGGTCATACCATAACACGCATCGCCTGAGAAGCGCGAGCAGTGTTCCATACATTCATCCCAAGTCGCAGTATAAAACCAGACTCCCGCCCCGGTTGTTTCTCTAACTGCGTCTACCGTCTGTCAGCCAAAGACCCTGTCGAAAGACATGACACATTCTGGTGCTCACCGCTCAGAGGGGCATTCTGCTGGCAGTATAGTTTGAATGCGAGTCCATTCTTCGTTGTGTAGTTTTCTGCGCAGTTTTCAATGGTGTCTTGCCGTATTGCGAGGTCGCGAGTGAGAACGGCATCCGCCTGTGTGGAAGCTGGTAGCGCGTCAGTATATGAATTATTTGCCAAAATATCCAACAACAATCCCACGTACGTGTAGGAGTCGCAATGACGGCGCTTGCGCATGCGAGCGCCAGTAAGCTCTGTCTCGCCAGGATCAACATGCCGTAAAGATCTGACTTTTTGTAGCGTTCTCGACGACGACGACGACAACGACGGTACCGAGAGATTGAGACAGCGAAATCCCAAACCACGCGCAACCGCGAGCTTAGAGACAGTCCGGGAGATAGTTTTACAGGCCCTACACCAAGAGGAGGGCAGTGCTGCCTCATCCAAGCAGCACGATGACAACCAGGCCCGTTAGGCGTCCATTGGTGGGTACAACGCCCATAACGGCCCCCAACCCAGAGCCGCCGTCGTCCCGACACTGCCCCCAAATTTACATTGCAAACATATGCCCTTACTCATGCGCAGCCGTCTCAGCCAATACATCGTGCAGGGTGTCGGGTCCTCCGACCTGGCGCTGTTGAGTTCGCAACCTGCATCGCCCTATTGCATCCACGTCGTCCCTGAACTTGCACATAGTGGCTACGGCTTGTTCCGAGATGCTGTCATTCGTTTCCCTCCTCTAGTTTTTCCATGGCTCTGTCTGTTTTTCCCTAGGATTTGCACTGTCAGACGCGAAAATGACCAGGGTTTTGCGGTGTGCATATCCTGTCCGTTCTAGGGAGATTGGTGTGGTGCTGCCAAGACACGCTGGCAAGCGGAGCAGTCCTATCCTTGTCGTCCACCTCAACTGCGACTCGGAATAGAGCTAGACGATAGCCGTGGTCCGATCACGCTTCCCGTCGCCTTGTTCCCGTGTTAAGCATGCTGGAAAGTTACATGAAGAGGCTTCAACTACAGAAAGGATTGAATCACGTGCATACGGGCAACTACGACACCTAGGCGCTTGCCATAAATGGTGTACATAAATACTACTCTGAATTTGACAACAAAGGGTTGGATTACCACGCTGCTTTTGCAGACAACGACTTGGTATCTAATGCATCCTGAACGCCCGCCATTATTTTTCCCAGCCTGCAAACCAATAATGCAACAACGCTGAACATTGCAAGTCTGCTTATCGGTGGCTGGTCTTTCCAATACCACGCTTGCCGGCAGTCTAGACTGTTGTTAGTAGATGCTCTTGTACTCTCAGATAAATCACAACTTACCAAGTGCTTGATCAGAGAGCCAGTCTGGTGCCTGTCGGCCTCACCCTGTCTGGCCATCCTGTTCATCTTCTTCTGTGACAACTTGGCCAGCTTCTCCGCCTTTGAAGCAGCCTCGGCATCCGTAACACCGTCGTTCCTCCTGTTGGTACTCTGGCTGCGACCACGGCTCTTCGCACGCTCAAGCGCAGACTTGGGTGTATCGATATCCATGGCATCACCGGGAGCCTCTGATCGTGAACGAGCCAAGCTGCGTCCTCGTGCTTCTGCTTGAGCCGTTGCACGCTCGACAACCTTTGTAGTGTCGTATCCAAGACTCTCGAGATGCGATTCCATTTGCGACATTTGCTTCGCCTTCTTTGTCCTGGGAATAATAGCCCTGTTCTTCAAACTCTTGCGCATCTTGGCTTCGTTCCTAATGAGTTGCCGCTTCTCGCGGATCAGCTCTGCCTTGTACCGGAAGTCTGCCTCCTCTGCGTCTTCAAGATCGTCGTCCGAGTCGTAGAAACCCTCCTCCTCCAACTTTTCTTCTTCAGCCTCGAGCGCGGCAAGCTTAGCCTCAATGTCAGGGTCGATGAAGTCGTAGACGTTCTGGCCCTTGAACACCTCGGGAATACGGTCATGTTTCCATTCATCATTCTCAAGAAGATAGTTCTTGCGAAGATCAATGTTGTACACACCAGCTCCGCCATTCTCCTCTTCCAAATCACGTTCTAGGATTGGCCTATCAGGGTCATCCTTGTCGTACTTCTTCTTGTTGAGTGCTGCATCTGGGATAAAGGTCTCGCGTGTTACACCACCCAATGGCTGAGCAACGTGGATTCGGCGCAACAGTTCACCAAGACGGCCAGATGGCTCACCAGCACTGTTAGTTCCAGCCTTGAGCTTCTCTGCGTTACGAGCAGCAATCAAACGATCGCAGACTGCGTTTCGCACAGCCATGACACCCTCAGTAGTACTGCAAGAAAGCTCCAGCATCTCTACCTCACCCGACTTGAGCATGCCCTGTAGTTGAGCCTGTGTTTCGGCATCAAGCTGGTCGGGACGCATAAGATCGATCTTGTTGATGACAATGGAGATGAGTTTGTTCGCGAACAGAGGCTTGATGTTGTTGAAGAGGGCGATTTGCGAAGCAACCGAGTAACCACACTGCTCACTGAGATCCATAAAGTAGAGAATGTGGGCGCGGAGATGAGCAATGGCGCAGATGGACTGATGTTCGATAGTGTTCATCTCCTCGAGCGCATGGTCCAGAATACCAGGAGTGTCAACCGCTTGGAAGCGAAGCATCTTGTAGTCGAAATGACCGACATACAAGCTCTTGGTAGTGAAAGCATATGGCTGGACCTCGACATCGGCCCTAGAAATGGACTTCAAGAAGGACGACTTGCCGACGTTGGGGAATCCAGAAATGACGAGTGTACGGGTGTTGGGGTCGATCGAGGGAAGACGACCCAAATGCTGCCTAACTTGTTCGAGGTAGACAAGAGGATCCTTCAATCGCTTGCAGATTGTGGCCATACGACCAAGCGCAGCCCGCTTAAGCTGCTTGCACTGGAAAAGAGACTGGCCGTATTTGAGAAGACGCACATAGTCACGCGCAACCGTCTCAATTAACGACTTTGCAGTCGAGAGCTGACCAAGAGCAATGCGGAAGTGATCCGCATCGTAGAGGGTGTTCAAGAGATCGCGGTGGAACGGGTGGATGTCCGCCAGGCGCGGAAATGCGTCGATGGTGGTGGTGAGGCGCTCGACGAATGTCTCGGATGTGAATTTGACCTTTCGTGTATAGAAGGCTCGAATTCTGCTAATCTTGAAACCCGCACGGATCTGAGTGGGCAGTCTAAGGAAATTTTCGTCAGCTGTCTGCTCTTCGGTGTAGTATGTAGCTGGCGCCTTGAAAGCGCAAATCTCGGCGCACGGGTGTGGTTTGCGCAGATGCAGATGGGATGGGTAACCTACCTCCTCTGGGTCCTGGACAGTACAATGTCCAGGAACTCCTGGCTCGTAGGCACGGCGGGAATGTCCTTCCACTGGGTCTTCATTTTGGCGACTGCGGGTTTGTTGGGGTTGTGGACGCGGTCTGCGCTTCGAGAGGGAAGGGCTGGCAAAAAGTTCGAGGCGCTACCTATCGATACCAAAAAATATTCCCCACCGCCAAGCGGCAGTTCGCCTCATGTGCGCTAGTGCCGCATTCAGACACCCACCAACCATTGCGGCCCTAGGGACCCTGATTGTCGTGTCGGACATGCAAGCATTATGTGTAATGATATGTACATTGGAACTCAATTTGTTTTCTCCTTGTTCAGCCCAAGATTTGAAAATGAGCATCTACAGGGTTCTTCCCATTGATGGCCAGAACATCTTGAGGACATGCACTCATCACCACAACTACATCCCGCAGCGCCTCCAAAACTACGTAATCGCCTGGCTTTGTCTTTGGCTCTTCAAAGCTCACGCCCCGCTTGGCACCCTCACCCTCCTTTGTGATGGGAATGTTCATGAACAAGTTGAAAGGATCAGGCACCCTGCTTCCCAACTTCCCCTGCAACATTTCCAGGCCCTTTTTCTCTTCACCTGAAAGAGATGATGAGGTAGAAAGAGAGTACAGGGAGTCCCAGAAGTTGTCTGTACAGCTTTCATGGTATTCATTGACACCCAGCTCGCTGTACCGCCACCTATCGCACGCCGCAATCAAAGTATCATGTACACCAGGGCTTGTGTCCTCTACCAGTTTTACCATTGGCGCCCTTTTTTGACTGACCATCACATCACCCACTTCAGGTGTAACTTTTAGCAACGTTGCGCGGCAGTGGCACATAGACATGTATTCAGGCGCACTGGCGGCGGCATTGGCAACGGGTGAGTATTTGGTCGGTGAGTCGGCGGTTGCGTTTGGGTAAAGTGCTGCTTCGACCTTGGAAGACGCGGTCGTGAGGGCTGAAGAGGGAAGCGCGAGTGCCCAGGTATCGACTACTTGGTTTCCGTGGGTATTGGTTATCTTAATCTTCTTGCCGGCTTTGACTACCGTTGCTGCTCCACGGCGGGCGGGGACGGTCTGGATTGGAGGAGACATAGCAGATACTTGACTTGTAGTTCCTGAAATCGACTGATCTTGGACGAGGACTTTGGGAAGTTAGATAGGAGTAGGGGACCGTAGCATGCCAATGCCTGAGATATATGTTCACGTCTACCCCACTTGTGTTGCCATATCATATGCCGTGGGACGGGAAGATAGGAAGATAGGTTGCGGGGCTGCAATCCTGCACTGAACATATCAGTTCAAGATAGGCGGATTTGTCACAGCCTCAAGCAAGATTGACTATTCTGCGTATTGATACCATTTTGCGGGAAGCGCGCGTATCCAGCAGAAGTATACTATGAGGTTACTATCGGAGATGCGGCAAGGTGCCCAGTGTCTTGGTCAGCGCAGAGATGATTCTGGTATACATAGCAGACAAGTGATCGTCGAAAGGCAGTATTACTGGGGTTTGCGGTGTGTTGAACAAGGTGTAGTACTAGGTCGTGGCTTGAAAGGTACCCAAATCATCACGTGTCAGGAATGTGGCCTGGGGCATCCTTCGAACGGCCACCCTAGCATTCCCGAGCGCCGCAACCCAATTTATCCCCACCACAGCTCGACTCCTTTACCGCCAACCTAAATCGTTTCTGCCCAGTATTCACCATGGCTGCCCTCGCGACTAAAACACAGTCGCAAAACATCTTTACCAAATTGAAGTCAAAGCCCGCCAACAAAGTACGTATTCACACCAGTCAGCGCTTCCAACGACTCCTAATCCATGTCTAGATATGCTTCGACTGCGGCGCAAAGAACCCAACATGGAGCTCTGTGCCCTTTGGCATTTACCTCTGCCTCGACTGTTCGTCTAACCACCGTAACATGGGTGTCCATATCTCGTTCGTTCGTTCCACCAACCTCGACAGTACGTCTTCCCCTGGGCCCTGCGGGCGCTTGAAGCAAGGATATATATATTGATCAAGGACAGTCTGGCAATGGGATCAACTGCGAATCATGAAGGTCGGCGGAAACGAGAGCGCGACCAAGTATTTTCAATCGCACGGAGGTTCCGCTGCGCTCGCGAGCAAAGATCACAAAGCCAAATATACTAGCAATGCCGCCAACAAGTACAAGGAGGAGCTGGCTCGACGCTGCGCTGCAGACGCCAAATTGTAAGTCTACATCGAATTGTACAGTGGCATAAACTAACTATCTTGTGCCAGGTATCCTAACGAAGTTGTAATCACCGATGTCGTCGAACCCGGTAGCGACGGAACCAACACCCCAGCCGGTGAAGACGATGACTTCTTTTCCTCTTGGGATAAGCCGACAATCAAGCGTCCCTCAAATCCACCCTCGCGTACCGGTACACCCAAGGCTGCATCGCCTTTCCTCAAGCCTGGCGCCAACGGCACAGATCGCCCGAAATCGCCCCTCGCTGGCAGCTCCGAAACCACTACGCCAGCAGCGAAGCCTGCCGCAGTACGAAAGACCACCGGGGGTGCTGCACCAAAGAAGAATATTTTGGGTGCAAAGAAGAAGGGTCTTGGCGCAAAGAAGGTGGTCGCTGCCGATGGTGGACTCGACTTTGAAGAGGCGGAGCGAAAGGCTCGTGAGGAGGCAGAGCGCATCGAGAAGCTGGGCTACGACCCTGACGCTGAGGCCGCAGAGGTCGCTGCAGCCACCAAGTCTAAGGGTTCCGAAGCATCTATCATCGCACCTACTCCCGTATCACCACCGCATGGTGGATTCGGCTCGACCTCCAAGCCTGAGCGCTCAAGTCAGGATATGGAACGGCTAGGTATGGGCGTTCAGCGTCTAGGATTCGGACAAGTAGGCGCTGCGAAGAAGCCTGTTGCCCAGAAGAAGATGGGAGGTTTCGGCAGCGTAGGAAAGCCCGCTCAAGATGATGATGAGAAGTATGCACGGGAGAAATTTGGTACACAGAAGGGTATCTCAAGTGACGAATTCTTTGGCCGCAATGCGTACGATCCTTCAGCCACTGCACAAGCGAAGGAGAGGTTACAAGGTAAGAGCAGTTTTACGATATTGAATATTGTGATTCTGTTTTCTAACTCATCTTACAGGCTTCGAAGGCGCGAGCGCGATTTCATCCAACGCATACTTTGGTCGCCCTGAGGACGATGCTGCAGAGGAGGACTATGGTGATCTGGAGACTGCCGCCAAGGACTTTGTCCGCAAGTTTGGTCTGACCGCTGGTGATGACCTCGAAAACCTGACCAACATGCTCGGCGAAGGTGCGACAAGGTTGCAAGGAGCCGTCCGGAACTACCTCAACTCGTAGAATAGGCGTTGAAAAGGGTTGGTTGGGGCGTTCTCAGTGGGTGTTCGAGGAGTCAGGTGGACACATTCGATACCATACAGATCACGCACATTGTATGGCAGCAGCAACATAGTCTCGGCGCATGATGCATAGGAAGATGGGTCCTGGGAGAGGCGAAAACCATGAGTTGGCGGGGTTTACTTGGATTCGATTGTGTACGTATTGATCTTTTCCGCGTTGAAGATGGTGACCGGGGGTATGGTCCAAGTGGTGTTTTGGGAGTACACATAAAGTAACGTTGGAAATCTTGATTGGAAATCTGAATAATCTTGACCATTCCCTTTCTTCATTAACACCAAAAAACGACAATGCAGAAAAGCAAACTGTATCGCAGTGTAGTATATCCTTTGACTCCACGTCTCCAGCTAAAATGAAATGAACAAAATGAAACGAAATGCAATCAATCATCCCTATCCCCCCACACATCCGCCTCCTCCCTAGCTACAGCATCCAAATCAATAAACACCCCCTTCCCACTTTCCTTTCCTGCCCCTCCATCTTCCTCATCACTACTACTCTCACGTCCCTGTCTCGCCTCCTCCCGACTCATAGAACCCCACCCCGCATCTTCATCCTCCTCGTCGTCTTTCGCAAAACCAGGGGATACTGGGACGAAGTCGTCCATTAAGTTACTCGGCAGACCGGCTGGCACGGGGCGTTTAGAAGTGGAAGTGGGTGGGGAGGGTGTTAGGGGCATCATTGCCATTTCTGGGGGTTGGGACAGGTGGGGCTCTGTAAGGCTGTCGCGGTTAGGTGGTGGTGTTGAAACGCGGGGTTGACGGGGTTGTGGGAGGTCGGGTTTCGGGATGCTGGACATCTCGGGTTGGGAGTCTTTTCCGTGCTTGGATGATGGGCGGTGTTCTTGTTGTGAGCTGGATGGGACGGCGGCGGACTGTGTGTCGATGCTTTGGGTTGCGGGAAGTTTGGCGTGATGCTCCTGCTGGTGCTGTTGAGAGAAGGGGAAGATGGAGAAGAGGCTGGAGCTGAGGCTGTGGCGGTTTGGTGCGTTGGGTCTTTGTTCCTTTTTCAGTTCTTCTTGTCGTGGGTTTGACGCTGTTGGAGGCGGTGCGGAGACGGAATGGGAGTGTGAAGGAACTCTTCGGATGGCGGCAGGGCTGGGGGGTTTGGCGATGGTGGTCTCTGGTAAGGATGCCTCACACATTTCACAGGCTTGGAGGCTGGGATCGTTGAGGAATGTGCAGCGTGGGCATTGCTTCTTGAGCTCTGGTGTTGATGGGCGTGGCGGCTCCGGGTTCTGGCCTGCTCGCTGTGGTCGAGGTGGTTGAGGCGGTGCTGCTGGCTCAGATTCGGTAGGCATCTGGTATCCTGGACTATATCTTTGACTGGATCTCGAATTGGATAGCACTGTGTCTCGTCTCTTGTTCCTGGAAGAAGCATCTCCACTTGCTACAGGGCCTGGGTTGGGATCAATGGAGACCACAACCTGCACATCTCTCTTTGTCCCACACTTCATGCACTGACACTGCCGCGTCACAGTCTTTGTATACGTATCAGTAACCTCAGAAGGCGCGTTGAATCTGATTTCGAACTTCCCGGGCTCTCCGAAACCCGCAGCACCCTGATCCTGCCTCTGCAAGTTCTTCGCATTTGAGTAGCCTGCTCCTTTTGCGACAATGGGGATAATTGGATCCACACTTCCGAATACCAAATGGTCTACAAATGGCAGAAGCATCAAGGTTCCGCTGCTCTTGATATGGCGATCGACTTCTTCGCGCACTTTGAAATCGTCCAACGAGTGCAGAACCCGGAAATACTTGGTGAACATATCGCCATACCATTGTCGAACCTGAACACCTTGCTGCAATAACTCTTTTGCGATAGTTCGTGGCGCAGGGCTGGGCCAAAGTGCATCGATTAGGTGTTTCTCCTTCAAGGCCTTGCGGACCATCAAATCCAGCCTAGCACATTCGTACAGTTTCTTCTCCAATCTCTCATGCAACTCATATTTGGCGAACCTAATCACCAAGCCTCTCACGAATCCGGCATCGAGATTCCATTTTCGTGTAAAGTAGTCCAGTGACTCGAGATCTTTCTGTGCCTGTGCATTGGCAGGCCGGACCATAAGTGGGGCGAGCTCATGTCCCATAGATATCCATCGGTCGGGTTGGTGCGGGAGGGCGGTTGCTGTGGACCAGAAAGATCGGATGGGGTAGTATTCAGCTTTGAAATAGTTGAAGATGAAGTCTAGAAAGTCCGATTCTGTAAGCGGCAATGCTGCATGGCCACGGGGAAAGTCCATCGTGGAGGTTGGCAGGCCGGCTGGTGGCGAGAGCCCGAATGTGTGTGACGGGTATCGAGGTCACGCGTTTGGAGCTTCCAGCACTGTAGCTTTTTGGAAGCGCTTTGTAAGAGTAATAAATTTAATTCAGAATATTAGCATGAGTGTGTATAGGGTTCTGGTTGCAGTTCTGGCGGACCACACGATGTGAGTAATGTTGCTGCCTGGGTAGAATAGAGAAGGAAACACGTACAGTAGCCACACAAGTTAAGAAGAGTGACGGTGCTGATTTACAGCTGCGCCACAGCATGTGACGATGTTATATGCGCTAGATGTGCTGCAGAAAGCTTCGGTGCATATCATGCTCTTGTGATGTGTTTCCTGAGGCGTACGTCATTGCTGTGGCGGTGGCGGTGCCCGACTCTTCATCCGCACTAGGCGCGCCTGGTTCTCGAAGCTCGACAGCTTTCACAGCCAGTCAAGACCTGGAAGTTTAATATTGCGATAACAGTTTTCCCACATGGCGTTTTTCTATGAGTGGGCTATTTAATGGCGTGCTGAATGCTCATCATGTGTGCGTGGAAATACAGGATAGGTATAGACAGGGCTCATCATATCTGAGCGTTCGTTACGAACGGGAGATAGACCTATATTTAACCTTCATTCAATCAATGTATGTGCTCAAAATTTATCAGAATCATCATTACTCCGGGAGAGCATGAGAGATTGCGCCATTGGACCTTTTGGCCAAGGAATTAAACGCCCATGTTGGTAGAGTCAAAGACAAGGTTGTAAAACAGAGTTTCCAGACCCATCAAATGGGATAAATTCCCGCATCCGTTCAATACTAACTCCATGTGGATGTGGCAGCATGGTGGCTTGACGAAGATGTGTGCAAGGGCAACTGGGATTAAGGGGTCAGCAAGGGATTGCTCAATCGGGGCTTATCTCACAGATATGTGTTCTCGATGAGCCTATCATGATTTCTCCTAGGAGTAAAAGCATTGAATTTTGGCTATTGATCTCGCCTATTTCTGAGATACAAGCGTTCACCGGAAATGTCCCGCCTTTCCGCAACGTGGAGAATGCAGGAATCAGACCATGAGATCTCGGCAACAACCCCACGCCGCATTGCTGCAAGTAAGTCGGTATCTGCAGATCTTGCACAGACGTACAAATGACGGAAACAGTTCTTAGTGGAGCTGGCGGCGGTAACCATCGTCCTTAAACTTGGCTTGGTCCATCAGTTCGGTTACGCAATTCTCTAGTTGTCCCTAATACCGATCTCAACCACTATCTTGGAGCTCGTGCAGTATGGCATCTTTGGAGACTTCATCAAAAGCTTCGTCTAAAGCTTCTTATAAATCTCCGTCTAAATCTCGTATCAAAATTTTTCCCAAAGAGTCTCACAAAAGGTCGCCGAGGTCATCAGAAGGTCTACAAATTGCAGAACCCGAGCCATATCCTGAAGCTGTCAATCGATACTCCCCGAATCGGGATACCAAACTGCCACAGCTACACGACCAGACAAGTCCTGATGAAGCATCAATACGCACCCGGCCATCTCAAGAGCGCGTATCCTTCCGTCCCGGACCGTACAGTGATCAATCTGGATATGGACCTACTATCGAAGTTCCGTCAGATATGATGAAGAAGTTCTTTGCTTACCGCCGGCGCAAATTCTGTTTCATTGTCATCTTCACACTGTTTATAGTCGGCACGCTCATTGGCTCCAGTATAGGAGGTGCACTATATGTGCAAGACAAAGCCGAACAGTACGTTTATTCCACTTTATACCTGGCTCATACTTTGCCGCCTAACTTCCGCTAGATCCGCCTCTGAAAGCGAAGCTACCAATAATCCAGTAGATGAAGATTCAACATCAAGCTCCACATCCGCACCAGCGGAACCTTCCACTCAAACCCAACCCTCAAGTGCAGTATATACAGCGCGCCCATTCGGCACCATCCAATCAATCAACACAACATGTCCATCTACTCTCCTCATATCCAGTCAACTCGAAGGCAAGACTTCGGAAATCAGTGGCCGCTACACCTACAGCTGCCTCGACAATACAAACATCCTCGACGAACCCAATCTCATGGCCTTTACAGCGTATACGCTTGAACAATGCGTCGATGCCTGTAGCCAATACAGTGCTATAAGCTACAGAAATGAAACGTGCAAGGCGGTTGTGATCAGTTCGCAGTTTCGCGAAAAGTACGAAACGGGATATGGGGCGAATTGCTGGTTGAAGGGTTCGGCGGACAATGCTAGTACGGGGAAATCGGGATACACGGCGGCAGTCTTACGTGAGGGGTGAATGAATATCTAAATCACCGTGAGGAGATAGGTTTAGTAGTGCTGTATACGTCTTGATTATTAACCGTAAGAGACGCACCTCTGATGTTCTATTTACTTTTACTAGTCAGAGCGCTAATATAAACGCAGTACAGTATTTAAATCTTTTAAGTGGATCTAAGATCTAGAGATCGCCTAAAGTCGATAAGTGGAGAAGAGCGCTGTTCTCAGAGTTCAGCGAAGATCTTGATAACTTACATCCAATAGTATTTTCTAGATAGAATCATGCATATCTGTGCTTTCCACTCCTAAGAAATCACATCTCTAGCGATAGCCTGCAAGAAGGATACAAAGATGTCTTGTAATAATAGCTTATGTTTAAGGGCTCTATAGCCTTATTTTAGACGAGCGGCTATATTTATTAGGTTCAAACTAACCCTAACCGAACTCTACGAACACGCCGCGTAGTTATTCTGTAAACCAGTACGCGGGTTCGTTTCCCTTACCCCATTATAAGTGCAACCATTTCGGTTAACGTTGCATGATCGGGACTGAATAGGACTGTGAGAACGAAGTTCAGGTAGCAGAAAGTTTAGAAGCGCATTACGTACCGAGCCGCACTCCTGGCCACATAATGGCTGCCCTCTATCACCCCTGAAGGTACAACAAATTCCACTTTGGCCACTTGCAGGTAAGCATTGCTTTACTTGCGTTAGCGAGGTATGTTCATTCAATCAAAGTAAGCAATACAAACATCGCGGCCTAATACCACAGCGCCTAGACTAAAGAGTACTCTATTACTCTATTCTGCTAAGAGACACAGATCACAGAGTAGGTCACGTGATCGGTACTTCGGGTATCGTGTGTCTGTAGGATTGCGACACGGTCGCAATCAGTTTACTGATACCAGGCCCAAGCCTGTAAGCAGTTTCCAGGACCGTAACAGTACTATTTTAGCGCTCTTTAAATTAATTTATAGAAGCTGCCTATCGGCCCTAGATATCTTATTATGCCGTAGTTAAGCTTAATAGTATAAGCTGAGTCTAATCAAAAAAAGTATAAGATCTCCTGACAGCAAGTGGCCTGGCATGAATGGGTCTGTCTTATCTATTCAAACTGTCGAACTCTTGCTGTTTGTTAGAGACACAGTCTATATCAACAACTTCAACGATTACCAGCTCTCCTACAAGACCTTATTGACCATACCTCAAGCCAATATGAAGTGGAGAATAATTGTTCTTGCAGCAATTACGACCCTGTATTCACCTGTCAACGCACACAGTTATGCCTGCATCATTACAGGTGAATCTGGTGATGATAACTGCCCACAAGGCTCGTGGAAGGCCTGTGTATGCACAAACCTATCTCAGACACTTCCACTACGCATTTCTATTAACATAAATCTAGATTTTTAGACCAAATGCTGGGACAGGAAAGAAAAATAAATGTCCTAACAATTACCCTTACGAAAGGCACTGGACGGGCACATGGATTGACTATAATGCTGCCTGCGGCTTCGATAAACAAGGGGGATATGGTTGTGTATGGAAATGACTATTATCGTATCGTCCTTCTAGAAAATACTTTTATACTAGATATTAGGAATTAGGAGGTTAGCAATACAGCGAAGCTATGTATGTTAGAACTTATAATATAAGCAGATCAGGCGTGACTAGGCAGTGAGCTGCTACTGTAAGTCCTGGGCTTCGCCCGTCTACATGCTCCAAGGGAGGTCTTAAGCAAGGACGTTAAATAATCACATATAACTATATATAGTTACATATATATATATATACCGTAAGGGGCTGCGCTCTATAGAGAACATACTTAGTACATAAGAGATTGCATTTAATAGAGCTAACTACTACTACTTATAAGATGTTTTTTTATCGTTAGAGAAAGGCTATGCCAATTGTCTAAGCGCGTTGCCTAAGCGCCGCTTGGTGGTGAGCAGACTCTATGTGCTCTAGAGCACCTAGAGACTGTGAGCGACCCAAGATCCTATCGAGGAGCTACTAGAAGAGCGTCTAGCCTATTACATACATATGTATATATAGTCTTTTATATCAACTCTAAATCTGTTTTTAATATTCACTTTTAGTGGATTAAAGTATAGTCTACTGTTTTTATTTGAGATAGTTAATCTACCATACTATACGATAAAAAAAAAGAAAAAGATAAGCGGTTACTGGAAAACAGTAAAAAAGAGGAATTTCCGACACCGGGAATCGAACCTAAAGCCTAATTAGAATGTGTGATGTGGAGTAAGTTGTTGTGATTGAACGTACCCGGGCCTTGCCGGCACTTGAACAGTGAACTGACTCTTGCAATGAGAGCGGCAAATCCTAGCCACTAGACCATATCGGACATTGATGGAATCTTGAATTTCAAGAGCTTTCATAACATTAGTATTGTGAGAAAACTCAGCGAAAATGGTGCATCACCAATGGAGGTGGGAATTGGCTGTCAGTGTTATCGAAAGTGAAATTTTCGGGGATTTTTTGAACCATGAGAGTGGGCTGCAACAAAGCCACTGACGCGATATCGCAGACTAACCCCACTTTTGGAAAATCTCGAACAACTAACCTGCAACACAGCATTGCGGCTAGGTATAGAAAGTTTTTGATCATTATTTGAGTCGTATTTGTGTAGTTTGAGGGACATTTATTTAATTCGCAGGTTGGCTCTATGATGCTGCTCATGCGGTATTTCATCCTGCATAGCCGATATGTAACTTGGATGCCCTCGGTAAAGTTCTGGTAATACATATTTCGTACTAGTATGAGTAGTAAATTGATTTGTCAATTGCAGAATACTCAGCTTGTTCCATGAAGTCTATAGACATTTACCAAAGAGCATATTTGGACCATTATTCACCAAATCTTTAATCACAAATCTTACCAGCATCACAGTCAAAACATCCAGTTCAAATCTCTTCAAAATAATAGAAATTAATAATCTATTCATATACTCATAATCACATGAAAACCCGTTTTTCCCAGGCTACCTTCCTCTACTGTCCAACAACAGTAAAGCTATCATGAACCTTCAGGTCACGGCTGCTAAGTCCAACCCAGATGTTGAACTCGCCCTCAGGGATAACCCACTGCTGGCTAACAACATCCCAGTAGCTCAGATCCCTGCGCATAAGCTCGAAGCTAACGCTCTGGGTCTCGCCCTCCTCAAGGTAGACCTTCTCGAAGCCGCGGAGCTGGCGCACAGGGGTGCCGGCAGGGGCGGAAGAAGGCAGACCGACGTACAGCTGGGGCACAGCAGCACCGGCGACGTCACCGGTGTTGGCGACGGAGACGGTGACGTTGTAGATGGCCTCCCAGAGAGCGGGGTTGCCGCCGGGCTGGATGGGGAGGTTCTCGGGGTGGGAGGTGATGGCGTCCTTGAGAGGAGCAGACTTGATGTCGGAGATGGAGAAGGTGGTGTAGGAGAGACCGAAGCCGAATTCGTAGCGGACAGAGATGTTGTGCATGTCGAAGTGGCGGTAGTCAATCTCGAGCTTCTCGTCGAACCAGCTCTGCCAGTCGTTGAAGCCGTCGGTTTGGATTTCGGTGGTGGGGGGCGCGTTCCAGTCGTCACCATTCTTGGCGATGGTGTAAGGGAGGTGGCCAGAAGGGTTGAAGTCGCCGTAGAGGATGTCGACGAGGGAGTTGCCGGATTCTTCACCGGGGAAGTGAGCGGCCAGGATGGCGGTGACGTTGGGGTGGTCAGACCATGGCAGGGTGTTGACACCGGAGGAGTGGGTAACGACGACGGTGTTGTTGCAGAAAGATGCAACGGACTCGACAACTTTGTCGCCGTCCCAGTCGGATCCAAGGTGATAGCGGTCATCACCCTCCTCAGCCCAGGTCTTGAGCATGACAATGCAGACATCTGGGACATCGCGTGGGATGACGAGGGTGCTGACATTGTTGTTAATGATGTGGGTGTTGTTCAAGAAGTACTGGACAATGCCACGGTTTTCCCTGACACGCTGCTGGATAGCGGTGAGGGGCGTGATCACGTAGGTGTTCTGGCCGGTACCAGAGCCACCGCCAGCAAAGATAGCACCATACTCGTAGTTTTGCTGGTTAAGGACAGAGCTACGAGCAAGCTCACTGGCACCGTTACCGAAGATTGCGACATTGCGGGGTGCCTTGAGAGGCAGAGCACGGTCTACGTTCTTCAACAGAACGGTGCCAGCAGCACCGTGTCGACGGATCAGCTCGTTGTGGTTGCCACGAACATCACGGCTCTTCTCGCCAGTAAGGTTGAACTCGCGGGTCCAGGAACTTCGTGGAGAGAAAGTGTTGAGATCAGCAGAGGAAGGGTCAACGGACGGGAAGTCGTTGTCCTGGCCGAGCTGGAAGTAGGGAGTCATGATACGGAGGACCATGTCGTCGATGCGGGACTCGTTGACAGTGCCGTTGTTAACAGCAAGAGTGACATTGCCGCCAAAGTAAGATGGGACACCAAAGTTCAATCCGTAAGCACCAAGTCCACCAGGCATGTTCATGTCAAGACCAGCCTCGATGGAGGCAACACCCGAGTGGGTCGCACCCCAGTCAGACATGATGTATCCTTGGAAGCCCAACTCACCCTTGAGCAGACCGTTTTGTGAAGCAGAGTTCTGGCATCCGTAAGATCCATTGATTCTCTGGTACGAGCACATGACACTGGCAGCGCGGGCCTTGATAGCGTTGGCGAATGGCCACATGTAGAGCTCGTGCATGGTGCGGTCATCAATGTTGGATGAGATAGCAGCTTGCGCTTGTTCGGTGTTGTCGTCCTTGCGGTAAGTAGGATTACGCATGATTTCCTGCTCGTTACCAATCCAGTGCTTAGGGCAAGCCTGTACACCTGCATCTTGAGATGCCAGGATGGTCTTCTCCATAGCTACACCACTGAGGTAAGGGTCTGAGGAAAAGCCCTCCCAGTTACGGCCGGCATAGGCGGAACGTCCAAGTGGTCCTGCGACAGGACCCAAGAAGACATGAGCACCCTTTGCCCTGAACTCTTCGCCCATGGCGTAGCCGCGCTCATACATGAGGTCCTTGTCCCATGTAGCACCGGCGGATACACCGGCGGAGAATACGCTTGCGTAATCAGCCACGCGAATGGCAAGAGGGCCATCGTGAAGGCAAAGACCAGGGAAGCCCAGGCGGGGAATGGCAACGATGTTACCAACACAAGGGCCGGCTTGACCAGTGACCATGTCAGCCTTTTCTTCCAGAGTAAGTTGAGCCACGAAAGCCTTTGCCTTCTCAAGGCCCATCTCCCAGCCACCAGCACCAGAAATCTTCGCTGCACAAATTATTAGACATGTCCGATAATCAAACAATCATCCCTAGGAAAACTCACGTGAAGGATACACAGCCGGCGAGGAGCCATACTCGGTCAGAATGGTAGTGTTGAGCGGCTGGACGTAGCTGAAAGCGCCTTCGCCGCGACCACTACCTCCGAAGTTCTGAGCACTGACTGCAGCCAAGAGGGCAGAGCCCGAAAGCACCTTTGAGACGACAGAGGGCGCCATGATTCCAGATAGTCGAAGGTGAATCGAAAGCCTGACTACCCATGATTGCAGTTGCACTGAGGCACTTATATACCATGATTGCTCCCTCGCCCCCCGGACCAAAGTCGCCCGCGGGTACTACTTCACAGTCCGGGACTGACACGTTCAGAGGCCCACGATGCAAGCATTCTGGGGACCGAAGTTTACCCGTCCGAGCTGTGGAGTCTCCGCAAACTCGCTCCATACCATGTTCATAACAACATTGCCAATAACGACGTCATGGATTGGCTGCGGAACGACTGCCAAGATGGCGGTTCGACAGTTTTGCGCTTCGGCAGATGCATGTGGGATCCATTCGAGCAAGAATCGGAGTGCAGAGCCGCATGACTCGTGTGGATTTGCGGGGATTGTGACAATGGGGTGAATGACTCGGTCCGACCAACAAGTCTACAATCGCGTCATAGCCATGTTCTCGGTAGTCCGCTCCGAGCCGCAAGAATTGCCTGCTGGTTTCGAACCTATTTTTTTTACTACGGCGCTGGAAGACGTTTGAAACTTAGTATAGGCTTACCTACGCCATGGGAAAGCCATGATTGCCATGGTCTGTTAATATAGCAAGGCTTGCGCTCAGGATAACTCGTCTCGTACGACAACGCACCTTCTTCTCTACCCAAGGCCCCAGCTTTTCACCCACCGCCGTGGAGTGGAGCGGGGTGGAGAAATCATGCTCGTATAGCCGAGTAGAAGTCCCAACGGGCACCGCAGAATACGTGCCTTCGTCACGAGGCCTGCAGGGAAGTTGAAGAATCTTGCAAGAATCGATCCAAGCGTCGGGAAGCGTTGTGTGCTTTCGGTATGCGCTACGCTTTTCTAGGCAATGCGCCCTGCTCAAGTCCCCAGTATCCACCTTTTATCACATGGGGATCGGCTCCAGAACTCCACATAGACGCACTACTTTTGCTGGCTTCCCCGCAATAAACATGTCTTCGCCCGAAGTTGAGCCTCAGACACAGTTAGGATTGTCAGGTCGAACGTTAGTCTCAAGAAAAGTCCAAGAAGCCTTCTAGACAACGACAGAACGCATAGCTGCTGCCGAAATTCCCGCACTTGGCAACACACTTCAAGGTGAGGGGACTCCATTTGTAATTTATTGTTTTGCGGAGATGTGCTTGGAAGACGGCTGTATCGACTCGACCGGTCTGCAAGATTTGGTGGCCTGTTAAGCAGGGAAAACCCGTTACCTAACGGCTATGTGCATTGCCAGCTGGGTAACGGAGAACCAAAATTCGAAGCGCAATAGCCGCGCGCTATGTCATTCATGGGGCTCTTCTTCGGAAGCTCGATCCGAAGACAAAGGCGGGAACAAGCATCGGACTTTTGTGAGGCTTTACTCTTGGTCAATGCCAACCAATGAGGCCATGACAAGCAAGAAATGGTGCCTAACCTAAGTGTTGGCGTTCATACATACACAAACCCGCTACTAGAACTCCGGCAACCAAAGATTCAAGGGTCTAATCTACGCCGTCTCCGAACCGTCGCATCGCGACTGGTACAATTACCTCTTTGGGAATCTACCCCATCCACTTCGACCTCCATACTCTAACTCAACAAAGCTAGATTCCTAGCTCCCTCCTGTTCTCTCGGGGCCTTGACTGCCGACACCCTAAGCGCTTCAAGACTAGAGTAGACCGTCAAATAGCAAGAAAAGAGTAGTCCGGTTCAATAGATCCCGTTGTAGTCCCCACAATACCGTACGTACATGTACCCTGTTTTTCCCGACCCATCACCGATCAGCCACCAGCCACCCGACTTCCATCCGATCCTTCGACCGGCACTTCTCAACTACAACCACCAACACTAATTCAATAATCAGGCGTTCCTACCCATATTATAACCCTACCTATACCACGGCTGACATAGCTAACACAATTTTCCATGTACATCAACCGAGGAAACAAGTTGACACCAAGACTCCATAAATAATGACAGAAGTCGAACCTGATACTATCATGCTTAGATAAGATGATGTAAAAGGTCGAGGAATTACCGTAAGAAACCCTTGATAGACTGTATGCTGGCAGCATGCCGAGCCTCGTGCATCTTTCTGGGAGAAAACTCAATAGAGAAAGGCGTTACAATGCAGGATGAGAGGTTGAAAGCGGTGCCGAAGTGCACATGCAAGGAGTCTCAGAAACACATCGAGGAAAATGGGTAGTTTAGTTGTACGTAGTAATTGGACTGAGAGAAAATATTGTTGAAAATATGGATTATGTGTCTAATTACAAGAGGATATTGAGCTGAACTATATACTATTTGACATTACTCCCATCAACCAAAACATTACTCTGTATCTTCAACGAACCACCCTTCAAACAGCACCAACAGGCTGTCCACTCTGCGCCGCCGCCTTCTCTGCCGTCTTCTCTGCCGTCTCCTTCTTCTTCGACCCCCTCAACTTCCCCATGAGCGCACTCAAATCCGCAACCCTAAACAAATAATACGTCAAAACCGCCATAAAAGCATTAAACACAACAAACGCAAAAACAATGCCGAAATTCCTCCAGCGCTCCGAGTAAAAAATCTTGGAGCCAGCAAGGAACTGATCTGTAGTCTTGAGCGTGCAGTAGTGGCAATCAGCCGTAGCATCGGGATTTTGAATGACGCCGCCAGTCCTCGCCGCAAACGCACTGAGGTACGCGCCACAAGTCTGATTCGACGGCGGATCAAACCTGAGCACCTCGGTCGCACTACACACGACGGGGCGTCCCGCCGACATGGTACTGACGAGACCGGCAATCCAATACGTAAACGGACTGACGCGGTACATGAAGATCCAGAACCCGGGCAGCTGGCTGGGCGGCTGCATGACACCGTTGAACAGGATGCTCATGAGCGTAAGCAACGAGACGAGGCCAGATGCCGTTTGAGCGTTTGGCAGCGCGGAAATGGTCATGGCGGCAAAGGTGGAGGTAAAGAGTAGAAGCTGGACGGAAAAGAGCATTGCGAGACCCTGGCGCTCGCTCGATTGATTCACGCCGACAACCGGGTAGTAGAAACATGCGAAGGTGATGAGGCCCGCGATGATGCCGTAAGGGATCTCAACGAAAATGTGTGCAATCATGAAGGCCTTCCAGCTGTACGCTTTTGAGGGGCGCTCACGCACTTCGTACAAGGAGCGCTGGGTCACGAACAGAGGGTGGATTTGCTGCACCAGCGACGTGAAGATGGTGGTGATCATGAAGACGCTGAAGATGATGGTTTGCATGCCCGCCTGTGTGGTGTTTGCTTTGTAGAAGGAGAATCCGATGAAGAGGCCGGCAATGGCGCCGAGGCCGAATTTCGCCATGACGTAGCTGGGCATGCGCCAGTACTGCTGGAAGTTGCGGTATGTGCACTGGTAGATTTGGGTGGCAAGCGGCATGGCGAATTCAGAGGAGCCGGTTTCGCTGGCGAGGTCGACGGATTCGTTGCGTTTGGATTCGTGGAGCTGGTTGATTTCGTGCTGGACGTTTTGCGCTTCTTGACTCGCTCTCCACACGTTGAACCAGTCTTCACCTTTGTTGTTTTTGCCGGCGTTTACGATTTCGAGCATGTACTCTGCGGGGTTCTCGTCTTCGCCGCATTTTCGGGCGCCGTTGGACTCGAAGTAGTCGAGGAGGGTGCGGGAGTTTTCGCCGAGCTCGCCAAAGTAGACGGTTTTGCCGCCGCGGGCGAGGAAGAGGAGGCGGTCAAATTCTTGGAAGAGGATGGCGCTGGGCTGATGGATGGTGCAGAGGATGGCTTGGCCAGCTGAGGCGAGTTTGCGGAGGAAGGCGACAATGGACCAGGAACTCTGTGACAAAGTCAGTAAATCCTTGTGATGCCGAGCGAGTTATTTGAGATTATTGCTACTAACCTGAGAGTCAAGACCAGACGTGGGCTCGTCGAGGAACAGAAGAAGCTTGGGCTTTGCTGCGAGTTCAACACCGATAGTCAGAAGCTTACGCTGTTCAACATTGAGACCCTCGCCTGGAACACCAACAACAGCCTCGGCAAAGTCAGACATGTTGAGCATCTTGATGACCTCCTCGACATAGTCGAATTTCTCTTGCTTGCTGACATTCTTGGGCTGTCGAAGCATAGCGGAAAACTGCAATGCCTCGCGAACAGTAGAGGTTTCGAGATGTAGATCCCTGGGCTAGTTAGTATCTTCGAGAAAATTTGCATCAAGACAGAAGCTTACTGTTGCTGCACATAGCCGGTGGAACGTTGGAATGCAGGATCAAGGGGCTTGCCGTTGACAAACATGTCGCCGGTAATGACGCCCATGGTTGTGCGCTGGGCGAGAGCATCGAGAAGTGTCGTCTTTCCAGCTCCAGAAACACCCATGAGTGCAGTCATAGTACCAGGCTTTACATATCCAGAGACATGATCCAGTAGACGTCTGGGCTCACCCTTTATCTCAATGTCATAGACAACGTCTCGCCATGTGAAAATACCCTTTGCCTCCTCGATGGCGCTGACATCGCCAGCTCCTTCCGCTACTTCCGGCTTAGATTGACCTGATTCTTCGTCTGACTTTTGGCCTTGAGGTTGCATGTAAGCTGGAACGTGTCCACGGCGGAAGACGAGCTGCTCGGCGGTGCTGGTTGTAGAAGAGTTGATCTCGACAGCAAAAAAGTACGTGACCATGAAGAAGATCAAGAATGCCCAGAGAATACCAAAGTTGCGCCACACATGGCTCCAGGAATACCGGTAGGAGACTTCAAGAAAGCGGTCACCGTTGACAAACCTTTGTCCAACAACTGCGCCTGGTGCGTTGCAGATGAAGTTGTTGCCCTCGGGCGAATAGCCAGGTCCTGACGGTGCAAGCGAGTCGCAGGGAAAGTCAACTCCATGCATCTCGTTGGCAAGCAGAATCTCGAAAGCGTAGAAGATGGGATTGATCCATCTGATCCAGCCAAACCAGTCAGGCATCTGCGGAATGCGAATGACGAAACCAGTGTAGATGACTAGGACCAACACCAACATACCAGCTCCCGCCATGGCCTGTGCCGCCGTCTGAGTAACTGCGGCGGTCGTCCGGAAGATGGCGGCCATGATAAAAGTGGACATGTACGTAATCATAAAGTAGATGAAGAACTGCCCAGCCGTCCTTCGCAGGCCAGCCATAAAGTACAGAATGATATTGAAAACCACAGCCTGTGCGAACTTGACCGGTAAATCTGCGACAATTCCAGCAATGGCTTCGGAAGCCGGATGGTAAAAGGCGTACGAATTGTGTTTCTCGACTATAGGGCGTTGGGAATACAGACCGGCGATTTCACCAAGAGATGTCAGGGCGCTGAATAGGATGGCGAGGAAGATGGTGCCACCACGTCCTTGGAATGAGGAGGTGCCTGAAGATTGGCCGTAGAACATGGAACCGACAATGAGGGCGATGATGAGGTTGAGCACGGCTTGCACTGCAGTCGAAGCGATATCACCACGGATGCGCTGGTAGGCTCGTCGCGTGTTGAGTTTGATCTGTAGGGCAACGCTTATAAGGTAAGGCGACTTGGGGCGAGTATGCTTGGCCTAGATGGTGGTCAATATCGGAGAAACATTGCAGGGAAAGTTGTTTGGACACGAACCTGGAGGTGGTTCTTCTGTTGACGAAGTTGCTCAAGAGTAGCGTGCTCGTTGATTGGATGCTCCGCCTCGAAATCGGCAATGTCTTCCAGCAAGGCCTGGTACTCTGGGGATTCGAGCCAGTACTTCTCGAATTCCTCAGGGGTACGAGGAACCTTGTTTTCCATACCCTTTTGGGGCTTTCGCTCTTCTGGATTGGTGACAGCTGTGAGGAAGTCTCCCGTGGTCTGTCGAGGTGGGCAGTACCTATGACATGTCAGTACAATGTTAGAGCTTTGTGCTAGTAGTCTCTTACCATCCTTGTCGCTCAAAAAATCCCTTAGCTTCGTCAGCAGGGCCAAAGTAGATCTGGCGCCCTTGGTAGAGAACTGTGGCTTTGTCGAAGCAGTCGTAGACACTTTGACTAGCTTGGTAGATGGCAACCGCAGCTGCACCTCCAGTCAAGTCGGAGCCGACTCTTAGAGAGTTGACAAACTTCAATGCTGTAGCCGAGTCGAGACCACGAGTTGAGTTGTCCCACGCAGCCAAAGGAGCTCCGGCCAACAGCATCTCAGCAACGGAGACACGCTTGCGCTCGCCACCAGAGACTCCGCGTACAAAATCATCTCCAACTTTGGTGTTGTATGTGTGTGTAAGTCCAAGGACAGCCATGACAACCTTGGCCATGAATTGGGCGAATTCATCACGACTCGCTCCGCCTGGGCGATTTGATGGTGTTCGGACAGCTGCAGCGAATTCCAGAGTCTGGCCGACGGTCAAGTGAGGGAAGTGCCTGTCGACCTCCTGGTTGTATACCATTTCACCCTTGAATTCCTTGATCATACGATTCTGGGGGACACCGTTGTAGTGAATTACTGAATCGTCCGTATCGAGACCGTGTAGTTCGCCAGTAAGTGCCTTCAACAGCGTAGAACAACCCGAGCCGGGTCGACCGAGCACAATGCAGAGCTCGCCAGCCCGGATTAGACCGTTGAATGAATGCAAGATTTGCTTGCGCTCAGTCTTTCCAAAAATTTCCTTAGCCCGAAAGGGGGCCATGAACACATCTGCAACAGTCTGTTGGAGTTGAAGAGCATTTCCAGAACCAAAAACGTTCAGGTTTTTGAACGCGACACTGAGCTTCTTCATCTCAATGCCTTCTCCCTCAAGCTGGTGACGGAGCATGTTCAAAAACTTGGAGAGATCGAAAGCATCGCTGCTGGGGTCTACCGCTGGGTCATTTGGCGCCGGAACGCTTAATTGCCTGGTGACGTTTGCAGACGCTGTTGTGAAGATACGTACTAGTTCTCGCCTTCCGTCTTCATCAATTTCTGACCGGGTCATCCGACGTTGCAGACCCATTGAGGCCCTTTGGTCGGCTGAAGATGATGTTCCCACTCTCTTGACCCTTTTCGACTCGTCGTTGGATCCATGTCGTGTGTGTGAGGATTCGGAGGAAGTGGAGGTATCAACCTGTTCGAGGGGCACTACCTCCTCCTTGTTTATTTGTGAGCAACCGTCATGTTGTTGTGATGAATGGCCAGAGGAAAATAGGCCCTCGCCGTAAGAGTTGGAAGCCATTATGCGTGTCACAATAGCTGTTGCCGGCGTGGGAAATCAAGTGTCGTTCGATTTGAACCCTTCTTTTACACAGGGACGAGAAGATATATCAATGTGGTGGCTACTATTCGGACCTAAGTGGTCACAACATGCCGGGTCGCGGAATCTCCTCATGCCCGTATTCCTAAACTTTGTACCAATACGTCGGACGAGTAGCATGAGGCGTATTCGTCCAACATTACCTGCCCAGGCCCAAGTGCTTGGGTCGAGCCAAGGCATCCCCGATCGCATTCTCCATACGCATCACCGAATTGTTGGTCCAGACCTGAACTAGCTCCGAGATACCCCTCCGAGATACCCTGAACGCTAAAGTTAGTCCGGTCGATCTTCTATGTGACGTAGGGATGCAATACGCTCCGCCGGACGTATGCGGAAGAAGAACACATGGCTTTGATGGGACATCACACATAGAAATTAAATCAAATCCCTGATACAACAATAAATTCTGGGTCGAAAAAGACTGAATTTGCAAAGGGGAATCTCCACGACCCAGGAAATTGACAATAATTGCATTGCTTGGTTCCGAGTGTGTGTCAAGGACGGCCGGTCATTGTGATGTCGAATGGACCAGTTAGCGTACTGCTACTCTAGTCCCGGACGAAATGATCGCTCGGATGCCTCGGGGCGCATGCTTTTCTCTTCGCTACCTATGCCTGTTCTGGCTTCAAGCTTTGCCCAGGTTACTCCAGAAGCCTCTCGAAATCACCAGGATTCCAGACGTCATATAACAGATACGGGTCCGTATGCTGACCCGATATGGGCTTATGTTGACAACATACCTACTCATCTTACTTATCTTGTGCAAAAGGGGCCGTATACAAGCGACTGTTGATCATTTCGAGAACGCTCGGCCGATCAGTCGGACTGTATGTGCCGACGCACAGAGTCGACCGTGCATGAACCTGCTGATGTGCTGTACCAGACAGGCTGGCATTCTGGTATCTCATGTGACAAGAGCTGAAAAAAGTCCCCATCTTTCTCTTGCCGTGAAGTAAATCCGGATTTGCAGATATGGTAAGTTGCGTACAGTCTCAATCGTGCATCCTCGGCCGTGCATAAGCTCAGCTTATTGAACTTGGCAGATGTGACATATGTAGTTCTATTGTCTGCAGCTGCAGCTCCCGCAGTATACGCAGCGGGCTGGAGTTGGGTCTAGATGCAAGTATTTCATGCCAAGTTGCACTAGAACGAGCACACAATCAGGCATGGGCACATTCCTGACTGTGTAGTACATACGTGAACATTGTCTTGTAGCTATGATAGTGGTCAGCCCCACAAGCCGTAACACAGCCACGTGTAATAAGCAGACTCGGAGAGTAATTTTAGGTACGCGCGGCATTTTGTCATGGACATATCCGCCTTATTAGGCACAGCCACATATCCTGGATTACTTGCGCGTACGAGAACCGGACCGGTACTTGTCTCCATGATCAGCTCAAGCATCATGTTGGCCACCGAGACCCTGCAGAGCCGTCCCTAAGTACTACTCGGAGTCCGTTTTATCTAGTGTGTGAATGCGATCGGGCAAACATGACAAACTGTCAAGTGTCAACTCTAGGCAGGGTCTGTGTGACGGACGAATCTAGCCCACCTGTTCAAAGAATAGTCAGACTTGCGTTGTAGGCACATCCTCGCCGCTCGTAATCAGACAACACGTCGTGTATACTCTTGTACTGATGGCGCACACGGCTTCTCACTTTAGTTGTAGTCCTTCTAGTTTGTGCTCAACGATAGGTACATGTTCGGTCAACCGATTTGGATCCCGCATGGCAGCCAGTACATCTTCTTTCCTGCCGGCCAACTTCTTCCGTACCTCTTCGTACTTCTCTTCCCTCGCCGTATACTCCCTCAAGATGACCTTGTCTGCGAACTCGATGAATATCCTAGTGTCTCGGATTCTGAAAACCACGTCGTCCAGGCGCATGAAGAAGCGAACAAGTAAGAGCAGGCGCTGGGGCATGACGCGCACCTTGCAAGAGAGCATGGCAATGCCGTTGTCAGCCAGTTCGTCCTCGTAAAGCACGAGCTCATCGAAGAAGTGTATCGGGTCGGGACGCTTGAGCAGGGCGAGGGGTATTTGCGTCTCAGTCGGCTCGAATGCGGGTGCCAAGGGGGTGGTGCCCTTGTAGTCGGTGCTGTAGGACCAGTCAAAGGGCTTGACAACTTCTTTGATGTCTTCAAACTGCTTTTGCCTAGGGTGTGTTAGCGGCGCGCGCTGCTTTCAAGATATCCATCACCAACCGGTTCTGCTGCCATTCCTTGGAATAGGCGACCTTGAACATGTTCTCGCCCGTCTTGTCGACTCGGTCCAGCGCGTCAAAGGCATTGAACTCGATATACCAGCCGCTCTGTTCATGATCGATCCGAACCATGTTGTCGCCAAAGATCATTTCTGGTGGCGCAATCCCCAACTTTTTGGTCATTTCTTCAATGGGCCCCGCCTTGAGGATTGGCAGTTTGCGCGTCGTGATCTTGAAGCCCTCCTTGGTAATGGATGTGTCGGCATGGCCGGGCGCGACAGTGTCCGCGGGGGCGCCGTTGAGTGATGCCATGATGGCGCAGGCCAGGCGACGATGATATGTTCACCACGGATGCGACAAAGACCAAACGGCACCCTTTGCAAGAATGGCTATACTCATAAGTGCATTGTCGATGGCGGGGACACGGCTGGGGTGGGGCGCGAACCAAAGCCCCGATGCCCCGATCGCCAGGCCCTAGTCCGGCAAGCCCCCGTCACCCATAGCAACGCTGGAAACCCACTTGTTTGATGACTTGTTGGCCGTGCTGTCCTCCACAACCTTGAACCCATCCCCATCTCCAAGTGATCATCACGCCCTCGTCTCCAAGAGATATCCGTACTCTGAGTGAAGCAGCAGGTTTTGGTTGCCCCCCTCTGATCTTGACTCGTCTCCTGTCGCTACAGCTTGCATCACACCGCCATGGCCGACGTTGCAAACCTCGAGGCCGCCTTTGAGCGCACCACGATCCACGACGAGAATGACGACCAGGCTGCGTCTAACGCAGCCTACCAAAAGGCCAAGAAGGTATGTACTCTTCCGATAAGCTTTGTGCCAGCGGTTCTAAGAAGATCCAGCCTTCAGTAGCTGGCCTTTCAACCTCGCAATCAGCAGCCAACCGCATGAAGCTGCCTCACCAGATCCCTCTCCAGAAGATCGCGACACAAAACGCAAAGACCGCAAACATCGCAAAGGTCAACCTTGCTGCAAACGCCGGCCGGCCCTCAGAGCACAGCTCGTCTCACCGCCGCACCCTCACCGAATCAGCGGTGTACAGCGTTCCCTCAAATCCCGCAACCCCCAAGCAATGGCATCTGGGCATGTTCGAGATTGGCAAGCCGCTCGGAAAGGGTAAATTCGGTCGCGTATACCTCGCAAAAGAGCGTGCTTCAGGCTTTGTCTGCGCCCTCAAGGTCCTGCACAAGTCCGAGCTCCAACAAGGCAAGGTCGAGAAGCAGGTTAGGCGAGAGATTGAGATCCAATCTCACCTCACCCATCCCAACATTCTCAAGCTGTTTGGTCATTTCCACGACGCCAAGCGCATCTTCCTCATTCTCGAGTTTGCAGGAAAGGGAGAGCTGTACAAGCACCTGCGCAAGGAGCAGCGCTTCCCGGAATGGAAGGCTGCCCAGTACGTTGCCCAGATGGCTGCCGCCCTCAAGTATCTCCACAAGAAGCACGTCATGCACCGCGATATTAAGCCTGAAAACATTCTAGTCGGCATCCACGGCGAGATCAAGATTTCCGACTTCGGTTGGTCGGTCCACGCCCCTAACAACCGCCGCAACACCATGTGCGGAACGCTTGACTACCTTCCTCCGGAGATGCTTCGCGGCGGCGGCAAGGACAACTACTACACTGAGAAGGTCGACCTGTGGAGTTTGGGTGTCTTGACATACGAATTCTTGGTCGGTGAGGCGCCTTTTGAGGACACACAAGTCATGACACAGCGCAAGATTGCGAGGGGAGAGTACACAGTGCCCAGCTTTGTCAGCTCAGAAGCACGGGATCTGATTAAGCGATTGTTGGTGCTGGATCCTGAGAAGCGTATTGCCTTGGAGGATGTTGAGAGACATCCCTGGATTGTCAAGCACTGCAAGGGCAGCCCCAGAGCATATGAGCGTACGTCTGGAGGCAAGTCCCGCAGCAGTTCGGACGACTCTGAGGAGAGCTTCTAAGCCAAGACCTGGTGCCATTTATTTTACGTTTAACTGCTATGACGGCGAACAGGCGCAACCCACGGAAGTCACTGGAACCATATGATCTGATCGCATTGCTCGGAGTTTTTGCTAGCCTTCCCTTATCTCATCGGCGTTTACCTTGTTCATATCAGCTTCCATTAATCATTGAATGCAAGACCAGAATTTCATGTTCAATTTCATCCCATCATCTTGAGCGAAGATTGCCGTGCCTGTTAGACTTGCCTGCCAAACGCCGTTCGCTATGCATATTTACAACAACGGTTCCCAATACAGATTATCGTACACTCATGCCCACGTCCCGTCTACCGGTAGATTTCATCAAACGGCCTGGTATCTCTAAAGCAGCTTTCCCAGACCTCGTTCACCACCTTGCCTGCGTGTTCCTGGTCCCTGATGCCTGGTCTGGCCAGCATACTCAGCGTAGCCCTCCTCCTTACACAAGCCTGCAACTGCTCGGTAATCCTCCATTGGTTCCTCGTGAAAAATTCGCGGGCAAACCTGCACTCTCCGGACAATGTCGAAGCCCTGATCTCCAAGCAAGCCTGATGTCTAAGGTTATCCGGCTCAACCTTGAACTTGAGGTGGTCCCACGCATGAACCATCTCATGGGCCATTGTATCCTCCTGGTGTCCGCGATTGCGAAACTTGTTGGCGCACAGCAAGATACCATGGTCAAGCGAGAATCCACCGCTCTGCTCATTCGTACACATGCGACATAGGATGTTGTCTTTGTTTAAGTCACCGCCTAGCTTGTACACTTCATCTTGCATGAAGCGGATGACGGGGCTGTATTGCAGCAGGTACTCCTTATTGGACTCACAGCGCCTGCAGATGGAGTCGGCTTTGATTGTATCCATCTCGCCAAAGTAGTTCTTTTCGAGGGAGATGTCGCGCTGGCCGGTCATGCGGCCGAGCAGGATGTTGAAGGCGCTCGACCAGGTGTAGTATACGGGATCGATCTTTGCAGGCGGCGGCTGCGCCATGGCGGAAATGGAGGCGCCGTCGGGCGCTGTCTCGGGTTTCGACATGTTTGTAGCTGGTGGGATGGAGATGCTCGCTGGTGAATTGACTCGGCCGCGAAAAGTTTAGGTGGAGATGGGGTGGTGGGATGCGCGGGGAGCCAATCGGAGGGCAGACGTCGCCGCGCGCAGGGGCAGCCCGAAGATCGGTAGTGTTGCGAGGCACAGGGAAGTTTGGGCTCGTTCCAGTCATGTGTTGCGCGCGAATATAAAGTATAAAGAACGGGCTTATTTTTCTTCAAGTGGCTTATTCAAAGATCTGCGCTGTCTCTGTCGACCGTCCTGTTTCCACCGCTACAATGGCTGTCCACATGCGCAAGCATCCTGGCCAACTCACCGTCGTCATCAAGCTTGGTAAATACATTATTGTACAGATTTCACAACAGAAAGAAGAGGGCACCTAACCAACACACCCAGGCACTTCCTCGATAGTCGACGAGAAGACCCACCAGCCCCTCCTCTCCATCCTCTCTCTCATAGTCGAGACAGCATGTAGTCTGCGTGCTGCCGGCCACCACGTCGTCATCGTCTCGTCGGGCGCCATTGGCGTGGGCCTACGACGCATGAACCTCCCACGCCGCCCCAAACACCTTCCACAAGTACAGGCGCTTGCTGCGATTGGCCAGAGTAGATTGATGTCACTGTGGGATCAGCTTTTTGGCAATCTGGAGCAGCCGATTGCGCAGGTGTTGTTGACGAGGAACGACATCGCAGATCGCACGCAGTACCAGAATGCGCAGAATACCTTTATTGAGCTGCTCAGCATGGGCGTCATTCCAATCGTCAACGAGAACGATACGCTGGCGGTTACGGAAATCAAATTTGGTGACAATGACACGCTAAGTGCCATTACAGCGGGCATGGTGCAGGCGGACTATCTCTTCCTCATGACAGACGTAGACTGTCTGTATGACAAGAACCCGCGTTCGAATCCAGATGCAAAGTCTATCCCCGTAGTTGAGGATATTGCTGAGTTGGCGGCCGATGTCAGTTCTGCAGGAAGTTCACTGGGCACAGGAGGCATGAGCACCAAGATTGTAGCGGCAAGACTGGCAACCAGCGCGGGCGTTACTACAGTCATCACCAAGAGTAGCAAGCCAGGTAACATCTCGAGTATTATTGCCCATGCGGAGAAACACAGGAAGTCGAGAATGTCAAGTCGGAACTCGGTCACCAACTTCCAGGAAGAGGGCACCCACACTCCATCTCAAGAAGCAAGCCAAGATCTGTCGGCCTCGACAGCATCACTAGGGCAGCAACCACTAACGCGAGCGTCATCCCCACAAACCGAAGACCCCTGTCCCCTGCATACCCGCTTCCTTCCCATATCCAACCCCATACGCGACCGCTACTTCTGGATCCTCCACGGCCTAGCCCCCCACGGCACCATCTACATTGACCAAGGCGCCTGGGCCGCTCTGAGCGACAAAGCCGGACTCCTCCCCGTAGGAATTGTAGACGTAGACGGCCACTTTGCCCAACAAGAAGCCGTCCGCGTTGTCGTCGTAAAACGTCTCTCTTCCTCCTCCTCCAAATCTTCTCAATCCCAAACTCCCGCTTCACCAAGCCAAGTCCCCACCACCCCCGGTGCAGCAGCCCACGCTGTCCACGCTCCCATTCCTATCCGACACCCTCTCACCCCTTCCGCTTCTTCTTCTCATATCCATCAGCTATCATCTCCACACCAACCTCCTGCATTTGAACTGCATAACCCCGCGCCGTTTGAGATTGGGCGGGCAGTCGTGAATTACTCGGCTACGGAGATTCGGAGGATCAAGGGATTGCATTCTACGCAGATTAGAGAGGCGCTGGGATATGCTGATAGCGAGTATATTGCGCTTAGAGAGAATATTGCCTTCTTTGGGGGTGAGCGGTCACGACCTAGTACTCCGGATTTTAGACATGGAGCGGAGAAGAAGGTTGAGGGTGCGGAGGTCCATTGAAAAGATGAAGGGCTATGAGGGGGGAGGCTGAAAAAGTGGAGTATGGATAGAGGGTATTGTTCCAGTGTTTTTTTATGGGGATGATTTAGAAAGGTTGTTCGGTTATTGAAAATGCCAGTTCTGTGGTGTCCATTTGAGTTTTGCAGTAAATTGTTAATGTTTTTTTTTACTTTGGTTTCAAAATGCATTTCGCCATATCCGATCGAAGTATTCAAACACAGACAGACAATCCGAAGAAAATTGATTTCTTTCTCCAATAAGATTTTCCGCACTTTTTTTTAGTAGAAAAAAACCTCCCTCCTCTACATAGGCATCTCCAAGCATACCCTACACTCAGAATCCAACAAATCTAGTCCAAACCCCCCGGCAATACTTACACCCCCCCAAAGACCTCGAATTCCCTACAAAGTCTCACATTCCACCAATCCACACTCCACATCCCCTCTCTCCTCATCACAAAATGAAAGGGGCCACCATCCCTCCATCCCTCATCCTACATCCCGCTCCCCGTCACCCTCTTGCATGCTCTTCTCGTATCGTCATCAACCCACCTGCCGTGTGTGGCCCGTGCGCTGAACGTCCTAGCAAAGACGTTTGCAAGTGCTTAATATAACTCTCCTCCTTCCCTTGCAACCGTACCCTTCCACTTTTTTTTTGCTGACATAATAATATGGCCCCCGGTCCCCTTGAATGGCTTTTCTATGCGGGCGCAGGCGAGCGAGCGGGGCAGGCAGGGTAGTGGGACGGGGGGCTGGGTTGTATATGGACGGAAGGGAGATTTTCCGTCTGCGGGTTGCGTATGGAAGTGGGAGGGGAGGGAATGGATGACCGGGGGGGAAGGGGGGAGAGGAGGAGGGCGGGAAGTATGGGTAACAGCTATACTCGCGTTTGCTTGTGAGGTATTATATACTTGGTAGGCTATCTTCATTCCTACTATTATATTGTTTGTTCTTGTTTTCCGGGGTCGCATTAGTACTAGTACTACTACTACCAAAACCACGCACCAGTCAAGTCTGCAGCAGAATACCTTTTTTTTATGCCCAAGGTACATGCTTCTTGGCGCACGTACATATTGCATATATGTTTTTACTTAGGGGGGTAAAATCCGACTAGACAGAAATGCAGCAAAAAGAGCGAGATTTGCAAACATTGTGGGGAGGGGGTGAATTTTGTTTTAAATTACAACACGGCTGGGAAGTAGCGCCGAGGAAGGACGCAAAAATAAAAAAGGGAAATACTAGATGCTACTCAGTTTGGGGAAAACGGGTTTACATGTTGTGTGATATCCGTTAAAACCCCTCTGACTTCATAAGAAACTGATGTGTAGGGGTTTTTTTTTGAAGCTATTATCTTACTTTCGTTGTGTATGGAAAATGAAAAAAAAGGGCAGGGCATGTAAACGTACGTCAAATAAAACCCGTCCAACGATTCATTTTTTTCTAGCCCTGTCCAACAGGCGCAGAAAGTGGGGCCCTCGCTCCGCAGGCTTGGGTGCGTGATTAAGCCTCGCTTGCGATGCTTGGGCATGCTTGTTGCATATAACATATGCAGAAATATTGGGGGCCAAACGGCGGGGGCGAAAAAGAGATAACGAATGTGAATCCAGATAATTGAAAGAGCTAGCTTAGTGGCGGCTTTTTTTGTTGTTGTTAAGCACCGAGAGAGAGCGGCAGGGGATATTACCAAAAGGCGGAGCAAGGTAAGTAATGAGAAATTTAGCGGCGTGCCGGGAAATAAGGACGGTGAGCGAGACCCGCTTGGCGGATTGCAGGGTGTAGGGTAGTTGCGAGGTATTTAGATAGACGGGGCTAGGTCCCTGGGTTGTTTTTTTATCTATTTTCACTCTTTAACACCTATTTTATCGTTGGGTGTTTTTTGTTGTTGTTAGATACTAAAGGATTTGAAAGTAGTAGTAGTCATGTTGGGCAATAGTAAGACCACTCTTGATCCCACCATCAATGGCCCGTACTAGAGATTAAACATTCGTATCTAACAACACCACTCCCCAAACCAGACCTTTCCACCCTCCTCGCTCTCGTCAGCGCCACACAAGTCGCTGCGGTGCCCTCAAACTGCCCACGCAGACACCCGCCGCCACCCTTCAACCCCATCTGCCATGTAACCCAATACACGCAAATCCCCGCGGCAGTAGCCGCCTGCACGCACATCACCCTGGACAACATCCGCGTACCCGGCAACCGCACCATCGACCTCTCCAAGCTGCAACGTGGCGCCAAAGTAACCTTCGCGGGCACCACGTTCTGGGAGTACGCCGCAGCAAACTACCCCTTTATAGTCGTCAGCGGCACCGACATCGAAATCACCGCCGCCCCCTTCGCTGTCCTCAACGGCAACGGCCCCGCATGGTGGGATGGGCTTGGCAGCAATGGTGGCCGCATCAAGCCCAACCACTTTATCGAAGTCAAGAACGTGACTGGGTGTTCTGCCATTCACGATATCTACATCAAGAATTACCCTGTGCACTGCTTTTCGATTACGAATAGTGTGGACTTGGATGTGTATCGTATTAGGCTGGATAATGCAGAGGGTTATGCGCCGAATAATGTGTCAAATGGGTTGGCGGCGGCGCATAATAGCGATGGGTTTGGGGTCGCGAGTAGTAAGCAGGTGAGGATTAGGGATAGTGTGGTTGTAAATCAGGATGATTGTGTTGCGGTGACGAGTGGGGATGGTGTGGTGGTGGATAACATGTGGTGTAATGGAAGTCATGGGTTGTCGATTGGATCGGTTGGTGGAAAGTCGAGTAAGTATTTTTTTTCCCTTTCTCCTTTTTTCCTTCCTTTCTTCATGTGCAGAAGAGGAATAGTAGAGCTAGATTCACGTGAGCATGTTACTAATCAAGCGTAGATAACATCGTCAACAACATCTCCTTTACAAACTCCATTGTTCTCAACGCCGAGAACGGAGCAAGGATCAAGTCAAACTCAAACACTACGGGTTCCATTTCGAATATTTTGTTCAAGAATATCTTTCTGGAGAATATCTCCATCTATGGTATTGATATTCAGCAGGACTACCTCAACGGTGGCCCAACGGGAAAGCCGACGAATGGCGTCAAGATCCAGAATATCACCATGCAGAATATCTGGGGCACGGCGACGCGCGAGGGACGCAACTACTATATTCTGTGTGGAGAGGGAAGTTGCAGTGATTTCACGTTTAATAACGTGCATGTTACGGGAGGTGGAAAGCCTAGTTCGTGCAATTTCAGGACAAAGGGGGACTTTGACTGTGATGGCAAGTTTGTGAGTTAGTTGTGGGTGTTGGATGTGTGGAATCTTCTTGTTTTTTGTATATATTTGATTTTTCTTTGCATATATATTTTTTAAGATGTAGTAATGTTTCCAAGTAGAAGAGAAAGTGGAATAGGTGGCTTTGACATGAGACCATTCTTGCATTCTGTCAAATCTCTTTGGACAAGATGGAGAGTAAGTGACCCTGCGCGAGAAGATCTTTTCCGTCTGTGAAACTTGCACAGACATTTTGTCCAACAAGCTTTATCAATATACAAACAAGGAAGCTTCTTGAGCCAAGGCAGAGCAATATAAATACAGGCGGCCTAGTTAGGTTCTTCAAGATAGAGTCTGTCACTCGTGGCTTACAAGATCCTAGCTAACCTTGTAATCGTGTCAGCAGCAAATATGCCTACAACAACGTGTAATATTGTTTCTGCTCCGGCCATGGCATGTACCCCTTTCGAGGTTTGCGTCGGTGTAAAGTAGTCCTAGTGGGAATGGCTTGAGTCGGCTTCGGTAGCAGCTCCGTGATAGCTCCGTGGGCAGCCGGACTACATCACCCCGGGCGGCATGTGCCTAGTGGTTTCACGGGTAGGGCTTCACGGTTAAATACAGGCACATGTGTCCCTCTGCCGTGTCCGTCGCAATCGATTGAGTGCGGCGCGGACATAGGCGAGTGTGGATCGCGTCCAAGCTCCAAAGGCTATTCTGTTGATCGAGGAAATGACGTTACGTAGCGTGTTGAAGCGAGTGCGGATTGGCGAAAAGGGAAAGTCGGGTGGGCGGAGAGACCCCAGGCTACCGTTTTTCGGGTTGGTATGGGGTGAGTGCTATGCAGCTTGCGGCTGTTGCCAGTCGAGAGCGGCTCTTCTTGCCATGCAACTGCCGCTGGGCTTCGGATTGCTAGTTACATGCATATGCTGCGCAACGGACGTGTGCCTAGACGGACATGATTGGATGCTGGAAATAGCAGAAGCGCATTCTAACGGAACTTTGTCTATTGGCCATGGATAGGTTGCGGCATGCGTGACAGCGGTGATGTTCTGCCGGCTAGGGAGGGCATAGTCGCCGCAAGTTTCTCTGCTGTCGGGTCGGGTGCTTATTTACTTGCGCAGTACGTACCTGATCTACCTGCTGTTTTTGGTGACTGCATGCGTGGATAGTTCAAAGCACATGCATGCATGACAAGGCCATGGTCACAGTGTTCCGCGTCTCAGGGCAGTAAAAATCGTCACTGGACATGTTGAGTAGAGACGGCCTTGGTATGGTCACCCAGCGACCTGCGCCGTTCGCGTACTGACCAACGACGGCATGCGGCGCACGGATGGAGAGAGATATTTTCGGGTAGTGCAAAGATCCGTTTTTAGAGAAAAGGGTCTGGATGCAGGACAGACACCAGCAGGTACGAGGGCACCAGGGTTGGAGAATTGGAGAGACAGGGCGACCATGGTGGGGAAGAATGGGGGTGAACGCCCGCAAACCTAGCTGGAAGGCGCCGTCAGGGTCGGAGTCATGCTTGGAGAAGGCGCGTCAAGTCACGTGACAACAAACCCTATCCCCACGCTATGCGCGTCCGCGTCCGCAACCGCGTCCACTGGCAGCCGCCCATTTGCCCATTGCTCACTCCAACCACCGCCAACACTGGACGTTAGCTCTGCAAATGGCTTCAGGATCAATGGGTCCGCCTAGTTGGAGCAGCCATGGACCCCAACCCACCTTGTGGCGTGGTCCTAAAACATTGCA